AATGGACCTCAGAGTTTGGTGCCCAATAAAGAGTAACAATAACAAAGTGGGTTAGGCCAGTGCATAGGAGCTTATAATGAAGGGCCCACAGTGGAGGAGAGCTCTGAGTCCCACATTGGAGGACAATCTGACAGATGGAAAGTATTGGTTATCCTGACCTGAGAAAGAAATCTGAATGCATGAGGAACTTATCACAGTATTTATTATGTGTTCCTGCTACCTGGGAATAGCTCAACCATCACAGCTCCCACCCCTGTCACAGTCAGACTCTATCTGTAGGAGGAAGTAAACTCACTTAAACAACCAATGTAATAAATCCTCATTTATCCCAGTCAGTGCTGTGTACCTTGCTCAGCCTGGCTCTGGGATTATAGGGATAAATGGTGAGTGTTGTCAACACAGGAACAATGTTATCAGACGATATCAGCAACTTGCACTTATACAGTGCCCTTCACGCCAGACGGTGAGGAGGTGGAAAACTACCAACAAACTGAAGAGAATTAAATAGTTCTGGGTGACGCTGTAATGCAGCGCTGAGTTGTGTTGCGTTGATGGAGGTGCAATCCTTTGGATGAGAGGCTAAACTGAGATCCCGTCTGCCTGTTCAGGTAGACGTTAAAGATCCCAGATTACTGTTCAAAAAGAGAAGAGGTTTTCTCTCTCCCAGTGTCCTGACTGACAGTCCCCCAAATATAATTGGTCACTCGGTTCATGGCTGTTTGTGGGACATTGCCATGCGCAAATTGGCTGTAGTGTTTCGCCCACAAAAAACACTTTACTGTGTACCCTGTGAAATGCTTTAAGGTGTCCACTCCTGACAGGAAAGGCACAATGCTGATTTATAAGGATTTTTGTAATTTTTATTATTACAACTGCATAGCTCGCCACTAATATCATTATCTGGCAAGCTTCCTGGCTGCTTGTATAGCTAGGATCACCCTAATCATTAGAGCTTTGGCTTGTAGGGTTAAAAGGAGCTGAGTGGGAGGATTCCCTGCCCTTCCAAGTCCTGTTGATGAGCCAAGCCAGGCTGTTCCGATGCCAGCAGTGTCCTGGAGTACTGTGGATCCACCTGGCTCAGGAATTGGAGCCTTGAGACTATCACAGGTGATTCCAACATTCTGTTGCCAAACATGTCATCTTATAGCCAGGTCAGCTCCAAGAAGACCCCGCTTACCTCCCTCCCACTCCCGCCCACTCCCCCTATATTAGTTAAAGCCTTCTCTGCATTCCGTGCTTCTTGTAGCCTCTCCTGCACATGGCTCCAAGAACCTATCACCCCCACCCTCACCCAGCTCCACTGGCTTCCCATCACCCAGATGATAGAGTTAAAAATCTTCATCCTCACTTTCAAAGCCCTCCATGATCTTGCTCCTCCCTATCTCTGTGACTTGCTAACCCCATATCAACCTGTTCGCTCCTTCTGCTCAGGGGCTCTGGCCTGCTCCATATCCCCTGGCCTGCCCGCCACACCATCGACAGTCGGGCCTTCAGGCTTTCTGTCCCCACCCTCTGAAACTCCATCATGAAGACTCTCTGCCTCACCCCCTCCCTTGCCCCCTTCAAAGCCCGCCGCAAGACCTTCCTCTTTGACATGTCATCTTATAGCCAGATCAGCTGCCTGTCTTTGGCCAACTGCCCACCCCCCCTACCCCCCTTGTCCTCCATTCCCAGCTCGAGTGCAAACCCTTCACTGTCCAATGCCTTGGGATGTCTTCCCGACATGAAAGGTGCTGTACAAATGTAATTTTATTGTTGTTGTAGGGTATTAAGGTGAATGGTGAAAAAGTGGGTGTACCTGCATGTAAAAAAATCTGATTTTGAATAAACTGGGTGGAACAGGCTGGATGGGCTAAGCGGTTGTTCCTGTTCCTACTCGATGGCTAAATGGATGGAAAAAATAGCCAGCCATCAATGGTGTCTCGATTAATTCTTATCTTATATCATCTACAGCGATGATGCGGCGGTTGCAATCCCAGTGCTCTTTTGGGATCCCATGATTTCGGGATTATAATGCCCCAAATCCCAGGATTTCAAATCTTACCTCATCCAGGACGCCTGTGGTCATTCTCTGCCCCTCCCTCCCACTTTGACTCGAACTTTATACAATCCTGAAATCCCAGGATTCTCTTCAGTGAATCCCGGGATTTCAGGAACATCATTACCATTTGGGATCCTGGGATCGGCATTCCCAAGATAGCAACCCCTAAGCCAGGTCAACAGCATTGTGTGAGGGCAGCGCTGCACTGACCTCAGAGAGCAGAAGACACACTTAACGTGGTGATTTTGTTAAAGACAAAAACAACAACTCGCATTTACACAATGCTCCTCAACGTGGGACAGTGTCTTGGAGTGCTTAACAGTGACAGAGCTTGACACCAACTGTGGGAAGGGGAGAAGTGACCGTAGCACAGTTGAAGAGGAATGTCTTCTGGTGTGATCTGAAGACTGGTACAGACGGGGCAAGGCAAAGGGATTGGAAGCAGAGAGTTCCAGAGGGTCGAGGTACAGTGCTGAAATTGCGGCAGCCGATGGTGGAGCGGAGGGGACGAGGGAGAAGCAGGAAGCTGGAGCATGCTGAGCGGAGATAGTGGGTGGTGGAGTGGGGAGGTAAGCAGATCATAGAAGTAGGGAGGTGCCAGGGCATGAAGGGATTTGTAGCCAAGTGCGAGGAGCTTAAAATCAATCCGTTCAACATTGACTGCCTCCACACTGCATGATATACTACTAATACTGCATTCGATACTGCGCCATATCACGTCATTGTGACATCTCAAAGCACTTCATAAAATATACTGTAAAGTGAATAGACTGTATTTTGTGGGGAAACACGGCAGCCAATTGCGCACAACAGTGTCCCACAAACAGTCATGGATTGAGTGATCAAATTATTATTATCACCTATTTATTTTTTGGTGAGAAAGTGATCCACCAATCGACTAACAACCAGGTTCTTACTTACTACTGGGTAAACAGAGGCGTATGTGCGGAGAAAGGAAACTTGCCGAATTCAACCCGGCTCGTCTCGCTTGCAAGAGGTGCGTGCTAACCACTATGCTACAGGACTCTATATTGGGTAATATACAGATAGTAAATATTCATGACTTACCATCACCAAACCCTCTGATATCAGTGTATTTGATCACTGGTCATCAAGTCTACCATGCGCTGACTCGGAGACGAGAGTGTTAGTAGGTTGAGAGACGCCAGGCCAGACACTGCAGACTGAGGAAGTCACACAACCCTAAAGTTCTCTCTGAGATGGGCGTGGAGAAATACTGGTTATGAATTCTTGGTCACCCAGTGTTGTATCAATGGCTCATCAGAAGGAAATAGATTGATGGAATTGTTAACTCACGATCACACAGCTGAGCTCGCAGCACCTGAGCGATCAAGACAAACTGCTTTTGTTTTTCATGAACCAGGCCACTCCCTCCCTCCTTCCCTGCCTGTCAAATCCAAGAAAACAAAGGGATCAAAGTTGAATACCGTAAAATATTTACATTGCACAACACTTTCTTATGGCCGGAGGACTTTCCAAGGCATTTAGCAGTAATGTCGGGGATCTGAGCTGAGCTGAAAGCCTGTCTGTCCTCGCTATCGGCAGGTGGGCTTTCGACCTATCTGCTCCTGTTTTCTTCATCCTGCAGTCCCTCCGATTCACTCATTCATTCCCTTCCTCCCTCCGTCCCTCCCTCCCCTCCCTCATTGCAGGTCCGTTTCAAGACCTTCCTCTTCGACCAAGCCTTTCGGTTAGTGCGCTTACCTCGGAAGCGAGAGCACCGGGTGGGATTCCCGGGCAGGGAAAACCTTAGGCAAGTTTCCATACTCCAACCGCCTCGGTTTACTTAGCAGTAAGTAAGAACCCGGTTGTTAGTCGATTGGCAGATCGCTTTTCCAGTGGTAATAATCCTTTCAAAAAAAACTAATAATAATTTGTTCACTCAATCCAAAACTGTTTGTGGGACGCTGTTGTGCGCAATTGGCTGCTGCATTTCGCCCACAAATATACAGTCAATTCACTTTACAATGTACTCTGAAGCGCTTTGAGAGGTCTTGAAGATGTGATAAGGCACTATATCAAATGCAAGAATTATTATTATTATTATCATCATCCTGTGAAGCGCTTTGAGACATCTCAACGCTGTGACAATGCACTATATCAAATGCAAGGATTATTATTAAGACAGTTGAACAGCCAAGAGACCAGAACGCTCCTGTAAGGAAAGAGAAACCTGCATAAAAACACCGTACCCTGGACTTTGTTTCCCACGAATGGCTTTCTGATAAGTAGAAGTGAAGACTTAGCTGAAAATATTTTAATTGACGCCCATCCTGATGATCTGAACCCTGGTAAATACGCTTGTAGTATCTAGCCTGTGAGCTTTAACCACAAAGGGTGTAAAGCTCTATTTTAAATGGTCTGGGTTTTAACCAATTAGGTATAAAAATAGAAGGTTCATTCAAGTACAATGCAACGCAGGCAGATCTGACCAGCCCCCAGCTGCCTGTCGCTCTCCCAGGGACAGGTAACTGATACGGTCAATTTACTTTACAGCATATTTGTGAAGCACTTTGAGACGTCTAGAAGACGTGAAAAGCGCTATATCAAATGCAGATTATTCTTCTTATTATCATCATCATCAATAATTAACTCTCTGATAACCTGGCTGCTCCCATTATCGTGTCTTGTGCTAGTGGCTCATTGCTTTTTGCATAACCTTTGACTGTGAAACTGCATTAGATTATAATAAATTGTTTAACATCCAAATGGTGCGCACATTATTTCACCTCTATTTAAAAAATAAAAGCAGTTTCTTTGTACACAACAACTGCACAGTTTGGGCCTGACTTGTTTCATCCTGGGAGTCGATCCTGATTTAACTGTTTAAAGCTTGTCATGGTGACATGGGGAAGTGGGGGGCGAAGAGGAAAGAAAGAGAAAAAAAATATATATATCTTGATCCTTCTATAATCAGCAAATCAATAACAGCTCACTCTGAAATGTAGAAAGATTTATTTATTTTCTGGTCCACAATTGTGTTCAATTAAAAAAACGAGGAAAATAAATCGAGAATAAAAAGGACTTTGTCTGTTGGGTTTAAAGGCTCTGTCCTCCCCTCGGTTATTTCCTCATGTGCAGTTCGTCCTGAAACTTGGTGCTTGTGTAGCGAGCGTGGAAACCTTTCTTATTGATGGTATCGTCCGAGTGAAAGCGGATCACGATACAGTCTCCCGCGGAATAGATCTCCTCCGGAGGCTGTGGGTCAGGAAAATCCAGGGATTAGTTGCAGCCCTTCCTGTCTCAAAGATCAACCTTATTATTAATAACATAACGATAATAATCCTTGCATTTGATACAACAACAAAATTACATTTATAGAGCGCCTTTCACGTCGGGAGGACGTCCCAAAGCGCTGAACAGTCAGCTGTCGGGGCCCGAGCATGGGGGAGGGGTGGTGTGCGGGTGAGGGAAGGCAGAGAGGTGGGAGGGAGACCAAAGGCACGGTCGCAGAGAAGGGTCTTGAGACTGGCCTTGAAGGAGGCGAGGGAGGAAGCGAGGCAAAGGGACTGTGGGATGGAGTTCCAGAGTGTGGGGGCAGAGAGGCTGAAAGCCCGGCCACCGATGGTAGGGCTGGAGACATGGAGCAGCCGGAGCCCGATGAACGGAGGGAGCGGGCAGGTTGGTAGGGAGTCAGCAGGTCAGAGAGGTAGGAGGGGGCAAGGCCATGGATGGCCCTAAAGGTGAGGACGAGGATCTTGAACTCGATCCTCTGGGGGATGGGGAGCCAGTGGAGTCGGGCGAGGGTGGGAGTGATGGGGTCACGGAGCCTGGTGCGTGAGAGTACACGAGCTGCAGAGTTTTGGATGATCTGCAGCTTGTGAAGGGAAGAGTTGGGAAGGCCGATGAGGAGGGAGTTCCCGTAATCAAGCTTTGAGGTGACGAATGCGTGGGTGAGGTTTTTGGCAGCCTGAGGGGTGAGGCAGTGACGGAGTCTGGCAATGTTGCGGAGGTGGTGGTAGGCAGTGCTGGTCATGGCGCGGATTTGGGGGAGAAAGGACAGTTCAGGGTCAAACAAGATACCCAGGTTCCTGACTGGCTTAGTGAGGTTGAGTGTGCAGCCGTGGATGCTGATGCTGCCAGAGCCCGAGGTGCGGAGGTGCTGCCGCGAGCCAATCAGGAGGGCCTTGGTCTTGCTGACGTTGAGTTGGAGAAAATTGGCCTTCGTCCAGGACTTGATGTCGGACAGGCAGTCGGTCAGGACACCAGTAGTCCTGGAGTTGAGGGTGGAGGCAGAGAGGTAGAGTTGGGTGTCATCCGCAAACATGTGGAAATTTACCCCTTGTCTGCGGATGACGTCAACAAGGGGGAGCATATAGAGGGTGAAGAGGAGGGGACCGAGGTCAGAGCCCCGAAGAACACCGCACGAGACTGTGCGGGGGCTGGAGGAGAAGCCGTTTGCCGCGACGAAGTGGAGGCGGTGTGAAAGGTAGGACCTGAACCAGGCAAGGACAGAATCTTGAAGGTTAAGGTGGGAGGAGAGACTGAGTGACCAGTTTTATCTGGGGTACCTTTGACCAGGCCCCTAGAAGAGGGAAACTCCCTTCTCTTTTTGAATGGCACCATAGGATCTTTAACTCCCACCTGAACAGGCAGTCGGGACCTCGGTTTAACGTCTCACCTGAAGGACGGCACCTCCCAACAATGCACCACGCCCCAGCACTGCTTTGGAGCATCAGCTTAGACTGTGAAATTCCAAGTCCTGACGTGGGGCTTGAACCCACAACCTTTTGACTCAGAGTCGAGAGCGTTACCACTCAGCCAATAATTACCTACAAAATATACATTGTCATCCCACTTCACAGTATATCCTGTGAAACACTTTGAGATGTCTGCGTGATGTGATAACTTGTGGAGTCCTGTGGTGTTGTGGGTAGAGCATTTGCCTCGCAAGCAAGAGGACTCGGGTTCGAATCCCGGGCGGGGCAAAATCTTAGGCAAGTTTCCATACTCCACATGCCTCTGTTTACAGTAAGTAGGAACCCGGTTGGATTGGTGGATCTCTTTCCGGGGGGTAATAATCCCTCGAAAACTAACGTGTTCACGCAATCCATGACTGTTTGTGGGACACTCCTGCGTGCAATTGGCTGTTGCGGTTTGCTTACAAAATACAGTCACTACACTTTACAGTGTATCCTGTGAAGCGCTTTAAGGCGCTCTATCAAATGCAAGGATTATTATTATTATTATCCCAGTCAGTCTTTACATCCGTATCAATTATTAATATCATTTTTTCTCACCATTATCATTGTGATTATTATTATCAATATAATTAGTAATTATTATTGATGGTAATTGTTGTCCTCACCCCAGAGCCACAGAAGCGGCCGAGACGTGGTGCTGAGCTGTCGCTGCCGTCGTACAGCTCCATGTAATCGTAGCCGCAGTCAGCCTCCTCCTCCAACTCGAAGGTCTGGAATATCAGCTCCACCCCATAGCCGTCCTCGGCCCCGATCACCCAGTCACAGGCCTCCTGGCCAGGATAGTTATTGTCCCCAAACTGGGAGTGAGAGTAAAGATTCTTGGTCCTCACCTCGGCTCGCAGACGTCCCCCGCACTCTGTGAATGACAAGGACACTGTACCCTGCTCTCCGTTGATCCCATGCTCCATGCCCGCAGCAGTCAGGCGCTGGGTGCCTGTGCGTGTCAGGCGCTGGGTGCCTGTGCGTGTCAGGCGCTGGGTGCCTGTGCGTGTCAGGCGCTGGGTGCCTGTGCGTGTCAGGCGCTGGGTGCCTGTGCGTGTCAGGCGCTGGGTGCCTGTGCGTGTCAGGCGCTGGGTGCCTGTGCGTGTCAGGCGCTGGGTGCCTGTGCGTGTCAGGCGCTGGGTGCCTGTGCGTGTCAGGCGCTGGGTGCCTGTGCGTGTCAGGCGCTGGTTATCTGTGTTGTGTGTGTGGTGTGTGTATGTATATAGTCCTGCAGCTCAGTGGTTAGAGCACTCGCTTTGCAAGTGAGAGACCCGAGTTCAATTCCAGGCAGAGGGCGAAACCTTGGGCAAGTTTCCTTACTCCACACAGAGCCTAATAATAATCCCTCCAAAACCCAAAACAATAATAAATTGGTCATTTTCAATCTATGACTGTTTGTGGGACATTTGTTGTGCGCAATTGGCTGCCGCGTTCGCCCATAAATATACAGTCAATTCACTTTACAGTGTGTTCTGTGAAGCGCTTTGGGACGTCCTCCCGACGTGAAAAGCGCTATATCAAATGCAAGGATTATTATTATTATTATATATGAATATTAGGTGCTGGTACCTGTGTTGTGTGTGAGTGTGTGTATGTCAGGCGCTGGTACTGATGTGTGCGTGTGAGCGAGCGAGCGAGCATGTGCGCGAGAATGAGTGAGCGTGTCAGGCGCTGGTATATATACCTGTGCTATGTTTGGCCTGGAATCCTTTGCGTTGGACGGAGGCATCAGAGAAGAAGCTGATGAACATGCGGTTGCCGGTGGTAACCAGGGGCTCTGGAATTTTGCTGCCGCAGAACCTGCCCAAGATGGCGGCCTCCTGCCCAAGGCCATCCCGCACCTCCACGTGGTCATACACGCACTCCTGGTGCTGCTCTACCTCAAACACACTGAACGCCTGCCGGCACAGAGCACAACAGCAAGAAAGTCATGTTACACCTCTACAAATCACTGGTTAGGCCTCAGCTGGAGTATTGTATCCAATTCTGGGCACCACACCTTAGGAAGAAGGTCGGGGCCTTGGTGAGGGCGCAGAGGAGATTTGCCAGAACGGTACCAGGGATGAGGGACTTCAGTTATGTGGAGAGATGAGAGAGATAATAATCCCTCCAAAACAAAAACAATAATAAATTGGTCATTTTCAATCTACGACTGTTTGTGGGACATTGCTGTGCGCAATTGGCTGCCGCGTTCGCCCACAAATATACAGTCAATTCACTTTACAGTCTATTCTGTGAAGCGCTTTGGGACGTCCTCCCGACGTGAAAAGCGCTATATCAAATGCAAGGATTATTATTATTATTATTATTATTATAGAGGCTGGGATTGTTCTCCTTAGAGCAGAGAAGCTTAAGGGGAAGGTTTAATAGAGGTGTTCAAAATTATGAGGGGGTTTGAGAGAAGAAGAGGGGGTGTCGGACAAGTTGGGTAGCTCTTTCAAAGAGCCAGCACAGGCAGATGGGCCAAATGGCCTCCTTCTGTGCTGTAAGATTCTATGCAAACCACACTCCCACCGCCAGGTCAACGGACCAGTGGAAGAGGTACTCACTCCCCACCATCACCACCAATGTCTGACCCCGACCAAGGGGAGTTAGTGCTGTATTCACATCTCACTGAGAATGTGAGGCTCCTTACACCACCCTTACTGTGTCCTCAAACCTCGTGGAGTCCTGTAGCTCAGTGATTAGAGCACTCGCTTTGCAAGTGAGAGACCTGAGTTCAATTCCAGGCAGGTCAGGGCGAAACCTTGGGCAAGTTTCCTTACTCTACACGCCTAATAATAATCCCTCCAAAAACAATAATAAATTAGTCATTTTCAATCTACGACTGTTTGTGGGACATTGCTGTGCGCAATTGGCTGCCGCGTTCGCCCAGAAATATACAGTCAATTCACTTTACAGTGTGTTCTGTGAAGCGCTTTGGGACGTCCTCCCGACGTGAAAAGCGCTATGTTAAATGCAAGGATTATTATTATTTTATTATTATTATTGTAACATCTCCTAAACCAGGCCTTCCTTGTATCACAGAGCTGGGTAACTCTCTCCATCACTCCCTCAGTGAGGGACGCAGCATGTTCAGTGTGAGTTGAGGGGAGGTTACCAACCTTCAGCCTTTCTGTCCCCATCCTCTGAAACTCCAGCCCGGAGCCCCTCCGCCTGCCCTCCACCTGATCCCTATCCCCAGCTCGGCCTTTCAGCCTTATGTAATTTGTTGTTATTGTTGTGAGTGTGATTTGAAGTGAGTGTGTGTAGGGGAGTTACCAGTTTGACGCGGTGCCCTGGGGTGGCAGAGATAGCCCAGGTACACTCCTTGCGGCTGGGATACTTGTCCGGCCAGTTGGGGCTGGTGATAATGCCCTCAACGCTGTGTATTCTGTGCTCACACCCAGCTGCAACACACAATAAACACATCGTATAATTATGGAGTCCTGTAGCCTAGTGGTTAGCGTGCTCGCCTCGCAAGCGAGTAGACCTGGGGTTTGATTCCCAGGTGGGGCGAAAGCTTAGGCAAGTTTCCTTACTCCGTACACTCTGTTTACCTAACACAACTGCTCGACGCTAACATTCACCCAATTCCAGTTTTTACTCGATTGAATGTTCCGTGATTTACTGCACCAATCAAGAAATATTCAATGGAGGAAATTGATTTGGTCGGCCAACCAATAAGGCTGTGCCCACACCGGTGTAGAGTGTAAACTTTGGCACGGACTAGTTGGCTGATCGCCTTTAGATTTGACGTACAGTAAAACTTGCATAAGCCGTATGAGTCGGGACAGTAACATTTAATATGACTGACGTAAAGTTGCGGGCAAACCGTAGAAATTGTATGGAATACGATTTATTGAATGATCCGCACTGCGCATGCGTAATTCACTGCAGCCGGTAAGTGTGTGTGGGTGACGGGTCAAGACTACATTTCCCGCGATTCACTGCGCCTTGACCTGTCACCATATGCACACGTACCGGCAAGCAATGGAATTACATTGAAGCGCGGGAAATGAAGTTCTCCTGTGCGTGCTCTGACGGATCAAGACTATGTTTCCCGCAATCCAATGCAGCCGGTAATAATGGAGGATAGGAGAGCGGCATTACGAGTTAGGAGGTGATCGATATGAGTAGCGCAAGGAAATCTATCGGGTTTGATAGAAAACTGAATGGGACTCGGGTGAATGCACGACTTGGGTGTTTGTACAATGTATAATGTGTAAGACTTATGTGAGTTTTTACTGTACTGTAGTTCTATTTGTTTTGGGGAGGAGACCCAGCTTCGGGGGAGATGGGGAGGTGGGGAAGAGAAGGCCCTGGGGTTGGTGGGTGGGGGGCACTCACCTTCTTTACAGTCGTGACCGTTTTCATGCAGGACAAAGCCATTACGACACTGGCAAACATAGCTCCCAAACGTGTTCAGACATTCGTGCTGACAGCCACCATTGTCTTTGGAGCACTCGTCCTTATCTGGGGAGGAAGAGGCCAGTCATACGTCCTGCTCCACAGTCCCCAACCCTCACCCGGGGTCCCCACCCCCCACCCCAAGACCCTCTCCCCGTTCACCTCCAACCCCTCCAACTAGGCCAGACCCCTCCCACGTACCCCATCCCCACTCCCGCTCTTACCCCGATCCTCCCTATCACACAGACTCGCTCAGCAAACCAGCCAGGGCACTTGTCGTTCTCACCGTCATGCCTCCAGCTGCAGGAGGATTGTCTCAATCCAATGGAGTTGCTCTCTACTGGGTCAGAACGGTGGGGGTTTAAGCCCCTGATCCAACCTAACCCATGTTGTGCCAACCCAAGCCAATACAGCCAGTGTTATACCAACACTAGTGGTGCAAATCCAAACTACACCTACTTCTCCTGGTCCCAGGGGATGTTTCTGATGGGTGCCCCTCAAGCACTGAGCCTGTCAGCAACAGCTGTGGAAAAACTGCTCCCAAATTAAATTCAGAAGATAAAACAGGCTAAGAATGGGGGGAATTTTAGCGCTGAGGAGACCTATGTCAACCTCCTGTCAATCACCCAGGAGTGGAAGGGGCTTTGAGGGTTCCCCTGGCTCAGCGCCACACATACCTGAGAAGAACTGGGCTTTGAAGCCCTTTTTGGAGACGGTGTTGTCTGATTTGAACTCAATCCTCATGTTGTTAAACTGGGAGGTGATCACATCGGGTTTCTCCAGTCCACAGAACCTACCATGGAGTTTCGAGTCAGTCGCCAGCCCACTGCGAACCTCCACATAGTCGTACTTACAGACCTGGTGGATGTCAAAAAGGACACAGCCATTCTCCACGCTCCTCATCACCCCCATAACCACTTTCTATTTCAGTCCAACTTCAGCTACTTGGGAGAGGGTGGGGCGGGTGGGGGGGTTGGGTACTGAGCTGAACTGGCTCCAAGGTGACATGTTTGGCAACGGAATGTCAGAAGTGAGCCAGCCCTCTATGGGGGGTGTTGGTAGTCTGGTTCCTGAGCCAGGCAGTATTCCAGGGCACTGCTGATGACAGCACAGCCCAGCCTGGCTCATCGGCAGGAACTGGAAGAGCAGACCAGTCACTGGGGGCAGGGAATCCTTCACTCAGCTCCGGTTCCAAAGCCCTAATGGGTAGGATTTGAGACACTACCCTGCGTGGAGGGTGCTATATAAGTGCAAGTGGTGGTGGTTCTTGTTTCCAGGGAGGTCGAGCTGGACAAGCAGTGGGAAAACTTGCCAGACAGTGCTCTCAATGCTAAGCTCTGTGGTTTTAGCTGGTTAGACACCAGCAGTTCTCCCAACTCACACTCTGTACCAACACAACGCTACTTATGCCAACCCAACACTACTTGTGCCATCCAATACTTGCCAACTTGCACCAACCCAACCCTTACCAACCCAAACCATGCTGATAAAACGCTACCCATTTTGGGTTTAAGTGCTCAGGGACGCTACCCCACCTGAAGGGCGCTGTATAAATGCAAGTTGTTGTTGTCCCCATGCCAACACAACGCTACCTGTGCCATCCCAAACCATGCCATCCCAAACTACTGTTTCCAACTCAAAACATGCCATGCCAACCCAATCCACACTAACCAAAACCAACTACCCTGTGTCGTCTCAGTCACGCTGCACTGATCCAATGCCAACATAACCCCAATACTCCTGGTGCAAACCCAACCCGTGCTAACCCACTGATCCAACCCGCTTCAGACATGCAGACGCAATCCAACTGGCACCAACCCATCCCAATCTCTGCCAACGCATCCCATTCTTTGCCAACCCATCCCAGCCCTTGCCAAACGAAATTCAGCCTGACCCAAAAGCCAAACTACCTGTCCTGACCCAAAAGAAACTCAGGTGTTCACTTACATCATTTCCCTCCAGCTCGAAGACCTCAAACTGCAGTGAAATCCTGTACTGCGTCGGGGCGACCACTTGCCACACACAGTTCTTGTTGGTTGGGTATTCCTTCGGCCAGCCCGGGCTGGTGACGCTGCCGTTCAGCTTGGTCAGGAAGCCGCCACACGCAGCTGTAAGCATGACACAGTGTAAGTTGCCAACCACCAGCAACGGGAGGTGTTTTACAATAATAAACCTTACATTTATTATAATGCTTTATCAAGTCATTGAAAGGTCTCGAAGCATTTCACAGGAATTACTGTACAGTACAATACAAAATGACATTTGTGAAGCGACTTTCACGTTGGGAGGATGTCCCAAGACGCTGAAAGATCAGGGATTAGGACCCGAGCCGGGGTTGGGAGCAGGGAGAATGGAGGGCAGAGAGGGTGGCTGAAGGCACGGTCGAAGAAGAGGGTCTTGAATTGTGCCTTGAAAGAGGCAAGGGAGGGAACGAGGCAAAGGGAATGTGGGATGGAATTCCAGAGGGTGGGGGCAGAGAGGCTGACTGCTGGTGGGGCGGGCTGGACATGCGGGGACATGGAGCAGGCTGGAGCCTGTTGAGCGGAGGGAGCGGGCAGGTGGGAGAGGTAGGAGGAGGCAAGGCCGGGGAGAGCATTGAAGGTGTAAACAACAACCTGCATTTATACAGTGCCCAAGAGCGCTTTCAGAATAGCGTCTCAGGGAGCTTTCCATCTTGTGCAAAATACACAGCAAAGTGTAGTGACTGTGTATTTTGCAGCATTGTCCCACAAACAGCCTCCTGGCGTGAAAGTCACTTCACAAATGTCATTTTGTATTGTTCTGTACAGTAAATCCTGATGGAGTGAGCGAACAATTTTATTTGGGGGATTGTTGGCCAGGACATCGGGAGAGAGAAACTCCCTTCTCTTTTCAAATAGAACCAGAGGATCTTTAATATCCACCTGAACAGGCAGACGAGAGCTTGGTTTAATGTCTTATCTGAAGGATGGCGCCTCCGACAATGCAACACCCCCCAACACTGCATTGGGTTAGCGTCTTAGTCGATGGGAGTTCAGGTCCTAACATGGCGCTTGAACCCACAACCGCCTGACTCAGAGGTGAGAGTGCTACCCACTGAGCCAGGCTGACATACAAATTCATGATAATCCCAAAAAGGTTTGGAAGGTTCTGCAAACCTTTCAAACCTGTGGAGTGACAGTCTAGACTGTGAGCTCAAACCCCCCGCAATGGGACTTGAACCCACAACTTCTGACTCAAGAGAGAGCTCTAACCACTGTGCCAGACTGTGACCTTGGTTTACATTTCATGTAAGCAGTGAATTTCAGTGCGAAACACATACCAAAAAATGGAAAAGCCGAACGGTTGCCGTGGTGACATTGAGACACAGCGAGACCAAGGGCAGGGTTTTACCTTCACAGCTTTTCTTGTCGGGAGCCAGTTCGTACCCGGGGTCACAGGCACACTTGTAGCTGCCCAGAGTGTTCACACATCGCTGGCGGCAGCCTCCATTATCCGGCCTGGAGCATTCATCCACCTCTACAGAGAACAAGACAAGTCACCAACCGGACCTCCTCCCCCCACTCTATCTCTATACCATGTTGTCGCTGACCTGGGAGTGTGGACGGACAGGGTAGAGGGAGCTTTACGCTGTCTCTAACCTTGAGCTCGGAGTGTGGATGGACAGTGTAGAGGGAGCTTTACTCTGTCTCTAACCTTGAGCCACCCCTCTTTCCCTCCCCTCCCTTCTCCCCACCGACCCCTGCTCGGGTCTAAATTGCTCCACACTATCCAGCGCCTTGGGACATCCTCCTGAAGGGAAAGGCCCTATACAAATGTAATCGTGTTGTTGTTGTTGTTGAGCTGGGAGTGTGGATGGCCAGCGTAGACAGTTTACTCTGTCTCTCTCTCTCTCTCTCTCTCTCTCTGATGTGCTGGACAGTCACTGGTACCTTTGAAGTAATTGGCAGCGAAGCCGGCCTTGTTGATGGAGCCGTCTGACATGAAGCGGAGCCACAGGTGGTTGGAGCTGGATTTGATGTCGTCCGGCTTCTCGTAACCACAGAAACGACCAATCAGGGGGCTGTCTGGCCCCGTCCCATCCCGGATCTCCAGGAAGTCGTAGGCACAGCTGTCATGCCGCTCGATCTGTCACAGCGACACACGACAGGCTCAAACACAGGAACACGCCAGGAACATGACAAGCTCAAACACCGGATCAAAGCAGAAACATGCTGGGAGCACGCCATGAATACAAGAGCCTCAAACACAGGAACATGCCAGGCTCACGCCGAGAACATGACAGGCACATGCCAGGATGTGCCCTCTCTGATTTTGGGCTCCTCTGTGGCCGGACCATAAACCAGAGTCCCTGATCTTAAGCCATGTCAAACTCCTTCTTATCCGGAGCCTCACACGTAGGAGAACATCACAGAGACTGCGTGCTTTAACACCCCACCTTTCCCCCCAAAACCCCTCTCCCCCTGGCAGAGCCCAGAAGTGGAGGGCTTACCTCAAAGGCCTGGAATGTGAGGCCCACGTGGAAGCCGGCAGTGACTGTGACCTTCCACACACACTCCTTGGACGGACGGTAATCATCGGGGTAGTTGGGGGACTGAATCTGCCCTGTGTCCTTGTTAATGTCCCCACCACAGATAGCTGGGTAGAAATAAGGCAAACCGTCAGCACCTAAACAGCTTCAATCCCGCTTTATCCTATGGTAATAATCTTTATACTTACAAGTACAGACAACACAATTTACACGTGGAGTCCTGTAGTGTAGTGGTTAGCTCGCTCGCCTAACATTTTCCCATTTAGACTCGTACATTGTCAGTCACGACACCAAACGCCACGGGGAATGGCTGCCCTGAGGTGGGTAACTTGTGGAGTCCTGAAGAGTTAGCGCTCTCGCCTCGTAAGTGAGAGGACCCAGGTTCGATTCCAGGGGAGGGAAGAAATCTTAGGCAAGTTTCCTTACTCCGCACGTTTCTGTTTACCCAAAGGTAAGTAGGAACCCGGTTGTTAGTTGATTGGTGGATAGCTTCATTGGAGGGGAGAGTGCACATTCCATTCCAGACACAGAAATTTCCACGTGTAGGTGGGATGCATGGAATTCCCAGTTTGGTTTGGAGACTCTTTGAGCACAGTGATGGGTTTCCGTGTGTGTTAGACATCTGGTGACCAAAACAAGTCACCTGGGTGGTGTCACCCAGAGCTGATCGATGCCCAGTGCGCACACTCTTTCTCTCTCTCTGCCATCTCCACAGAGAAACTAAACAGAAGAGAAGTAAATACCTTCGTACACCGCAGAGAAGCCTTTTCCTGCCCAGTTGCTGCCGCTGCGGAATTCTATCCACAGCCGACTGTCCGTGGAGATGATGGCGTCTGGGAGCTTGTTCCCACAAAACCTGCCTGTAAACCAGAGAGAGGGAGAAAGAATGTGAGGGAGGGAGAGAAGAGCGAGGAGAGGGTGTGAGCGAGGGAGGGAGAGAGAGGTGGCTGTTACCCAGAAGCGGAGCCTTTTTCCAGTAGCCGTCTCGCACCTCCAAGTAGTCGTACCAGCACAGGCGGCTCTTAAACAGGTCCATCGTGGTGAAGTTCAGGGTGATCTGTAATAAACGCCGCAGTCAACCAATCACTGCCCACTCCAGCACACACTCTCTGCCCGCCCCAGCACCCAACGACACCCCCCAGCACTGTCACCCCTGCCCCCCCCACAAACACACGCACGCACATGGACCCAAGCATGCATACACACATGCATGCACGTACACACGGACACATAGCGCTGTGTGTGGGACGCTGTGTGTATGTGTGGGACACTGTGTGTGGGTGCTATATGTGTGTGTGTGTGTGCGCGTGCAGCTCGCTCACCTTCTCTCCTGGCGTGACCGAAATCCGCCAAACGCACTGCAGGAAAGACACGTAGCCGCTGGGGAAGTCCGGAGTGGAAAAGTTCCCAACCGAGTCCTGCAGACTGCCGCCGCAGGCTGCGAGAGGGGAGATAGGGAGCTTCACTCAGCCTCTCCGCAAAGCTTCTCATTTTCAGCAATAGCACGTTAAAGAGCTCATAAATATATATATATTATATAATTATAATAATCCTTTGCATTTGATATATCACGTCATTGAGACGTCTCAAAGCACTTCACTGAATAGATTGTGAAGTGGATTGACTGTATATTTTGTGGGCGTAACACAGCAACACAAACAGTGTCCCATAAACAGTCGTGGATTGAATAAGCCATTTTTTTTTTGGAGGAGGGGAATTTATGAGATCTTGGCAGAGCTTTTAATCCTATGTCCTCATTCTTTTCCCCATCTCTTGTGTAAGCATCCCTACTGATCTGCCTCTGTGTGTGAGGAAACACCTCCTGACCTCAGCTCTGACCGCCTTGGTTCAGAATTTAAGGCTCTGCCCTGTGTAACGTTCCCTCTACCAGAGGGACGAGTCATCCACTATCTAACCCATCAATTCCTTTCACTATTAGATCCCATTCAGTGACCCTTCTCTACTGGAAGCACTGCAACCAGGCTACCCAGCCTCTCCTCAAGAGCTGAAGGTTCATTCAATGATTTGGGAAACTGCTCACAAAGATACATCTCTACCACCAGGGAGCACCACAGGCACATCGGGAATTTGAGATCCAGGAGTAAATCAGGTGGAATCATTTTATCACTCCAGGTCACTGCCGACCACAGCACAGCTCAGCCTGGCTCATTGGCAGGACTTGGAAGGGAAGACCAGGTCACTGGGCGGCAGGGAGTTATCCCACTCAGCTCCTGTTAACCCTACAAGCCGAACAGTGGTCCAAGCCGGACAAGCAGCAGGAAGGCTTGCCAGACAGTGCTATCAATGGCAAGCTATGTGGTTTTAGCTGGTCAGGTTCCAGCAGTTACCCCACACTCTGGGGGTCTCCAAACCTTGGCTCTTGCCAACCTGCGCCTACTACTCTCGGAATTAGGCAAACAAGATGCATACAGTGGAGTCCTGTAGCTCAGTGGTTAGAGCACACGCTTTGCAAGTGAGAGACCCGAGTTCAATTCCAGGCAGGGCGAAACCTTGGGCAAGTTTCCTTACTCCACACGCCTAATAATAATCCCTCCAAAAAAACAAAACAATAATAAATTGGTCATTTTCAATCTACGACTGTTTGTGGCACATTGCTGTGCGCAATTGGCTGCCGCATTCGCCCACAAATATACAGTCAATTCACTTTACAGTCTATTCTGTGAAGTGCTTTGGGACGTCCTCCCGACGTGAAAAGCGCTATATCAAATGCAAGGATTATTATTATTATTATTATTATTATCCCTCCAGGGAGGTCCATTCCAACAATCTATCTCTGGGAATCCCACGTGGGATGCATGGAATTCCCAATTGGGTTTGGAGACTCTTAAGCACGGTGATGGGTTTCCACACGTGTCTGACACCTATCATCAGTAGTGTCCTGGAATACTGCGAACCCGCCTGGCTCAGGAACCGGGACTGGAGACCGTAACGGAGATCTGATTCAATAATCTGACAGTCAAGCACGTCACTTTGGAGCCAGTTCAACCCCAAGGAGATCCCACTTAGCCACCTTCCCTCACACCCCCTCAGATCAGGGACCTGACAGTCCTCACAGTTTCAGCCTTCAAATCTAAATTTGTGCTAAGCGATTTGCAAATTCTTTCTTTGGAAGCTGTGTTTCTGCAGGTCCAGGAACCACTGCCAAATGAAGACAGAATTCAGGATCATTAAGTTTCACAAGCTAAGACTAGGTGGAATTTCAGACCACTGATGTGCAGCAATATTACAGATGTGTACGCATTTGATATCGTTAGTGAGAGGATATCAAAGGCCTTATCACATCGTTGAGACATCTCACAGGATTTTTACTATAAAGTGTAGTTACTGTTTATTTATTCGTAGGCAAACACGGCAGCCAGTTTGGGGGATTGCTGGCCAGGACACTGGGAACAACTCCCTTCTCTTTTTGAGTAGTGCCTTGGGATCTTTAACGTCACAGACGGGGCATCAGTTTAACGTCTCGTTTGAAGGATGGCACCTCTGACTATGCTGAGCTGCAGTGGAGTTGACAGGCAAGACTGCAAGCTCAAAGTGGGGCTTGCAACCCATAACCTTCTGACTCGGAGGCGAGAGCATTGCCACTGAGCCAAGCTGGCAGGAGCGGATGGCAGAGACAGGAGAGGGCTGACAAACTGTATTTTGAATTTTGAACACGCACATTTTCAAATTCAAACCCCTCTGCAGCGAGGCAGACAAACACACACATCTGCTTCCACTTTGCCTCTCGTCGTGGTCGAACATTCCAGAGGGGGAGCTTTTAATTAACGAAAATCAAACAGGGAGGTCGTAAAACCCTGCAATAGGGGCTCAGAGAATACGTAAAGGGCATTAGGGAGGACTGTTCCTGGATTCAATCGCGGGCCTCAGTCTCCGAGTCAATGGGTCTTTGAGAGAAGCGCTATTCAATGGAATCTCTTTCTCTGTCTCCCCTGAATTTACTGCTTGGGAGGCGAGTTGGGAGCAAGGAGAAATGGGGGGGGGGGGGGGGGTGAGAGAGTTAGTAAGAGCAATCACATGCCCCAGAATTCTACCTAGTCTTAGCCAGTGAGGCCACTGTGTCTTAACGTTAAAGACCACTTGGAAAATGGATTGAATTCCTCATTTAGTTTCTCGTTGAGTCCCGTAGCGTAAATTTCCTTACTCCACACGCCTCTGTAGACAGTGCCTTATCACTTCGTTGAGACGTCTCAAAGCGCTTCACAGTATATGTTGTAAAGTGTAGTGACTGTATTTTGTGGGTGAAACACAGCAGGCAATTGCATGCAGCATCATCTCGACGAAGTGATAAGGCACTACATCAAGTACAAGGATTATTATTACTATTCCAATCCGGAGCGAGCGAGCGGGGGAACGGAGCGCAGTTACCTGGGCATCGGTACAGTTTCTTGGCCTGAGTGATGTCGCCCTGGCTCAGTCTGACTCGCTGCCCGATAGCCGGGCGGACCCCAGCGTCGTCACGTCGTGGCAGGATGGTGTCCAGGAAAACCCCCCTTTGGAAGGAGACAGGAGCTGGTGGTGAGCACCAGGATCTCGGGAATCTCAAACACAAACAAGCAGAGGCCAACCGCAGAGGGCTGGACACCAGGCGCTGGGGCAGTGAAGCCTCACTCACTCACACACTCACAGCACCTTTCACCTGGGATAACAATAATAGTAATAATAATCCTTGCATTTGATATGGCGCCTTATCACGTTGTTGAGACGTCTCAAAGCGCTTCACAGAATATACCCTGAAATGGATTGTCTTGTGGATTTTGTGGGCGAAACGCGGCAGCCAAGGCGCACAGCAGTGTCCTAGTCATGGATTGCGTGGAGGGAATATTCCCCCAGGGAAGCAATCCACCAATTGACTAACAACCAGGTTCTTACTTATGCTAGGTAAAGAAGCATGTGGAGTAAGGAAACTTGCCTAAGGTTTCGCTCCACCGGGGAATCGAACCCAGGTCCTCTTGCTTGTGAATGCCTTAACCACTACACTGTGGGATGGAGAGTGCCCGGATCAGGAAGGCTTCTAACAGGGAATATGATTTCATCTTTTTGTTATTTTATTCCGCCGGTTGGCCAATCGGGACCAAATTTCACAGCCATCATAAAGGGAGGTTAGACGGGGGTGGGGGAGAGCGAGGGGAGCATGGGGTGGGGAGCAAGGGCATAGTGGGGTTAGTTTGGAGATGTTCCCTTTGTGGTGTTAATTGGAAGTCCTCCTATGACTGACTGACTGACCGACTGACTCAGTGGGCACACTCTCTCCCTACTGTCCACATCAACACTTACCCAGAGAGTAAGCAATCTCTGACCGTGCCTCGCTCAAGCCTTAAATCCTTCCTCTCCGCTCAGTGCTCTCTCTCCCCATCGTATCTGTGAAGCGCTTGGGAGACTGTCAGTCATCCTATGTGAAAGGTGCTGTATAAATGTACATTCCTCAGGTCTCCTCTCAAACTGCTTTCCTTCCCGTGGTCACAGCACCATCGCTCTGCTCTCCCCCAACGAGTCCCACCTCTCAACCCTGGTATCAGATCAGCATTTGGGATCTGGTATCCGGGATTTGGGATCTGAAACCCAAGATTCCAGACCCCAATCCCAGATCTCAAATTCCGTCTCCTCTATTCCCTCTCCACTGCCTCGGAGGCTTTCTACCTGTATAATGGGGGTGTCCAGGACTGAACACAATACCCCAGGGTGGGGGGCGTCAGGAAGGAAGCTAGTGACAGGTTGAATGTCACCTCTTTTTTGAATTCAACAGCAGGAAAGAAACAAAATCCCAGATCCCTGATTCGCAAATCATTATGGAATATCTATAATTCCCAAATCAGCGGGGGTTATGGGCTGGGGAGGCATCTTGGTCACAGCGATAACGGACAGGAAGCGAGGAAATAAAAGCGGAGTAACCTTAAAGTCCAACCTTGAGAAGGTGTTCCTGGCGTAGTGCATGATGGAGTCAAAGTCGTAGCCCTCCCCCAGGGAGTTCACCTCGGCTGGCTCCATCTTCAGGAAGTTATACTCCTGCCCTGTGACATCACAGCACCGTCACTGATCTCTGTCTCTCTGCCCCGACCGACCGACCCCAACACTGTCGCTATCACACGATGTCCAGAGTTCGCCCCAGCCCACCCGGCTCCTTCCTTCTCGAGCTCCTTCATCCTCCCCCACCACCACCCACCCCCAATGACTGACACACACATACACACACAGTCTAGGGACAGACAAAGCTATGTCTCCACTCACTCAAACCTCCCCTCAACTGAACTCCCCCCTCGCCCAGACACTCCCCCCGCCTTGCTGCCCGCCGGCTCCCACCACTCACTGCCCTCTACCCCACCCCACCAACCCACCTGGCTGGATGTTTTCCCTGATGATGGTGACATGTGCGTCCCGGTCGGGCCGGGTGTGCTCGTGCCAGAAGCCCACCACGTGACCCAGCTCGTGAACCACGATGCCAAACTTGTCACAGTTTTTGCCGATGGAGATGGCCTGAGGCCCTCCCCCCCGCCGGCCCACGTAGGAGCAGCACCTGGCGGGAGGGGGTGGGAAACGGAGAGGTCAGAGAGAGTGATAGCGAAAGCCCTGCACACAGACCCCGCCCCCAACTCACACACACCTCAAATGGAATACTGTATGTTGTGGTAAACGGACCTTTGACTTATTCATCTCCTCTCGTCTCCTTCCTCGGTTTGCTTTGAGCTAATTGTGTTCAACTCACACACTTCAGTAAATAGCTGTGTCTCTTCTCCTTTTGAGGGAGTGGGGGGGTGGGGGGGCGAAGGTACGCAGGGTCTCCTTGGAACTGAACTGGCTCTAAGGTTACTTGTTTGGAAACAAAATATTGGAATAATGGTCTTTAGTCCGGTTCCTGGGCCAGGCCGGCCCTCAATACTCCAGGGCACTGCTGATAACAGCACAGCCCAGTCTGGCTCATTGGCAGGTTTTGGAAAGGCAGATCAGCCGCTGGGGGCAGGGAATCCTCCCACTCAGCTCCTGTTAACTCAATGAGCCAAAGCCCTAAAGGGTAGAGTGGTCCAAGCTGGACGAGCAGCGGGAAAGCTCGCCAGGCAGTGCTATTGATGGCAAGCTATGTGGTTTCAGCCGGTTAGACTCCAAGTTACCCCAACGCACACTCTGAGGTCCCCAACTTTTGGCTCCTGCCAACCTGCGCTTAATATTCTCTGGAATTAGGTAAGCAGGATGTGTCTCTCCAGGGAGAGAATTTGCATTCCATTCCAACAGGCTACCTCTGGAATTTCCATGTGTAGGTGGGATGCATGGAATTCTCAGTTTAGTTTGGAGACTCTTAAGCACGGTGATGGGTTTCTGCGTGTCAGACACCCGGCTGACCCCCCCAAAAAATGCTCCTGCTGTGATTATTTAAATGGTCCCTTAAACACCGGACTTTACAATGTTCAAGAGACTCTGGTCTGCAACAGCACTGACACGCTCACTGACCCACACGGTCTGTATGTGAAGACGATAAAACTCTCCTCATCGCTCCGCTCCACGAAGGTCACACACGTGTGTTTCTCCCAATGCCTCATGGCCTGCTTAAATATAGCTCGCTGGGTACCTGCAGCGGGCAACACAGGAGTTCAGCACCTGCTCACTGACACATACCAAACCTCACTGATATACTGCACAACCAAACCTCCGACACACCCAACCCTGCCTGACACCCCCCAAACCCCCTCCCTGACACCCCCAAAACCGCCTCACTGTCACCCCCAAATCCCCTCACTGACCCTCTCTATGTCGAGGTTGGAACACTGACCTGTGAAGTTGCCCCCGATCACGTAAGGGATGACGCCCCCGGGCCAGACCCTCTCCGGCCGGGAGGTGGCTGCTCTCCGGCCCCGAGGGGCTGGGGTTCTCGTTCGCTGCTCTCTCCGCTTGCTCTTGCGCTGGCCATGTCTGCCGTTACCTGGGAGACAGCCAGCAAGGTCACTACCCCCACACTGAAGTCAGCGTCAGGAACAACCACAGAGCACCCCTTCAGTCACACCCCCACTCCCAGTCACCTCAGCACCCAGTCATTCACCCCCCACCCCAACACACCTCCTCCACGGGGGGTGGGAGACAGCTCTGTAGAGGAAGGAGGAGAAATCGCAGTCTAGCGGGGAAATGCCCTAGACTGGCAATAACTGCTGTATAGTCTACAACAACAACAACTTGGATTTATATAGCGCCTTCCACGCCAGATGGCGTCTCAGAGTGCTTTACAGTAATGGATCCCGGCCCGAGCCAGGGGGAGGGGGAGGAAGGTGACCAAAGGTCCGGTCGAAAAGAAAAGTCTAAGTCACACACACAAAACACACACACACACACTAATAACATCAAAGTATATTTATACGGCACTTTTAATGTTGGGAGGACATCCCAAGATGCTGGACAGTTAGCGGTTTGCACCCAAGCTGGGAGCTGGGATCACAGGAATGTGGAGAGCAGATTGGGGCAGCCACACAAACTCACACCCGCACATATTTTTCAACCCTAAGGTCTCCTCCTCCTCCTTACCCTTCCTTGTTTTCTTGTCAGGTTGTTTTGCTGTGACGTTCTGGTATGCTCTCAGTGACTCCCCCGTCCCTCCTGGGAACAAACATCATCAGCGCAGGGACACATACTGACTGGCACACACATGCACACACACAGTCGGTCAGTCACACAAGCAGTCAGTCACACACACCTCACAGTCAGTCACACACACAAACACGCTCACACACACACACACACACACGCACACTCACTGAGCACCCACCTGTGTTGTGGCCTGTGTAGTTGATTGTGTGCTTGTGTAAATCAATGGTCCGATATACGTGGAACAGTTTCAGATCCTCTTCGTCTAAAGCGATATCTCCCCAGAACGCAACTGGCCAGAAAGAGAACACACTTCAGACACTCGCACAAGCCACACATCAGTTCTCTGAGCTCGTAGTCTCGGCTGCCACTCCAGTGCTGTGCTGGGGGGATGGGGGCGGGTGTTGCATTGTCAGAGGTGCCGTCCGTCAGATGAGATGTTTAAATTGAGGTCCCATCCGTCTGTTCAGGTGGATGTTAAAGAACTCATGGCACGATTCAAAAAGAGAAGGGAGTTCATCTCTCCAATGTCCTGGCCAACAATTTATTTGGAATCCCCACAATAAAATTGTTCACTTATTCCATGACTGTTTGTGGGACATTCCTGTGCGTAAATTGGCTGCCGCGTTTGCCTACAAAGCCCGCAGTTAATAGGGTTTACATAAATATTGTTAGATGTCCTCTCGATGCTATAGCAGATGTCAGCATTATTATAAGAGTCTCCAAATCACCTACACGTGGAAATTTCCTTGCATCTGTAATGCAATTTGCACTCTCTCACTGGAGAGATGAACCCTGCTTACCTAATTCCAGAAAGTATTAGGCTCAGGTTGGCAAGAGCCAAGGTTTGTGGACTGCAGAGGGTGTGTTGGGGTAACTGCTGGAGTCTAACCAGCTAAAACCGCGTAGCTTGCCATCAATAGCACTGCCTGGCAAGTTTTCCCGCTGCTTGTCCAGCTAGGACCACCCTACCTGTTGGGGCTTTGGTTTGCAGGGTTAACAAGAGCTGAGCGAGAGGATTCGCTGGCCCCAGTGACCAGTCTGTCCTGGAACAGTGCAGACCAGCCTGGTCAGGGACCGAACTAGAGACCGTCACAGAGGCCGGGCTCAATTCCGACATTCCATTGCCAAACACATCACCTTGGAACCAGTTGAACTCCAAGGAAACCCCACTTATTTGAGCTCCCCTCCCACACACACACACACACACACACACAAGAGAAGAGACCCACCAGCTATTTACTGAAACGTAAGTTAAACAGAGCTAGCGGAAAGCAAACCAAGGAAGTCAGACTAGAGGAAATGAATAAGTCAAAAGTACGTTTATAATAATATTCCATTTGATACAGCGCCTGATCGTGTCAAAATATCTCAGAGAACTTCTCTGTACAGGGTAGTGACTGTGTATTTGTGGGAAAATGCAGCAATCAACTGGTGTATAGCAACGTCTACAAATATCTGTGTTATTTGAGGGGTTGTTGGCCAAGACACGGGGAGAAACTGCATTACCAGAGGTGCCATCCTTCACCCGAGATGTTAACCAAGTTGCCAGCTGCCTGTTCAGGTGGATGTTAAAGATCTCACGGCACTATTCTGAAAGAGAAGGTGGTTTCACTCTCCCGGTGTCCTGGCCAACAATTCCCCAAAATAAAATTGGTTTCTGAAACATTGCTGTGTGCAAATTAGCTGTTGTGTTAGCCCACATAATAGTCACTACACTTTACAGAAAACTTGAAGCTCTTGAACCTCACCCCTGCTCTCTCCCAGTGGCAGTGAATGTGAGGCCTTTGCTGCTGTGCTCAGTTCCCAATGGCTACCAACTGACAGAGATTGCAAACAAAACACAGTGTAAACCACTCCGCTGCTGGGCAACATGCTGTGTTTGCAATCCTCCACGATATTAAATATTGCAGCGGTCAGGGCAAGGGGCACTGGGGGGTTGGGGGAAGGAATAGGCGAGAGAGACACAGTAGCGAATTTACATACAGCGATGTCCCACAAACAGACAGGCGGTGAATGACAAATTTTATCTGAGGGAGAGAGAAACTTCCTTCTCGTTTCCAATAGAGTTGACATAGAATCAATCATAGACATCACTCCCACCCTCGCTCGCCTCCACTGGTTTTCCATCCCCCAGAGGATCGATTTCAAGATCCTCATCCTCACCTACAAGGCCATTCACGGCCTTGCTCTCTCCTACCTCTCCGACCTACTATCCCCTACCTACCTGCCCGTACCCTCCGTTCCTCTGGCTCCGGTCTGCTCCACATCCCCCGCCCCAACCACCCTACCATCGGTGGCCGGGCCTTCAGCCTCTCAGCCCCGAGGCTCTGGAACTCTATCCCCCAGTGCCTTCGCCGCCTCCTCCCTTTCCTCCTTCAAGGCCGGTCTCAAGACCTTTCTCTTTGACCATGTCTTCAGCTCCCCTCTCGACTCTCTACCCCCTCCTCGCTCCCTCCCTTCCCTCCTCTCACCCTGACCATTTCCCCCCTGCTCGGGTCCTGACCCAACTATACAGCGCCTTGGGACGTCCTCCCGACGTGAAAGGCGCTCTATAAATGGAATCTTGTTGTTGCTGTTGTGGACTCTTACAGCACAGAAGAAGGCCATTCAGACCATCATGGCGGCTGTTTGAAAGAGCTATCCAACTAGTCCCACTCCTCCTCTCTCACCACGTAGCCCTGCAATTTTTTCTTTTCAAATACCTATCTAATTCCCTTTTGAAAGCTACTATTGAATGTGCTTTCAATGAGGCATCCATTGTAGAGTTACAAAATTCTTCTCTGAACACCAATTAGCCTGGCTCAGCTGGTAACACTTTCTCCTCTGAAAAAGAAGTTGTGGGTTGAAACCCCACGTCAGCGACTTTGAGCTCACAGTCTAAAAGTTGACGCTCCAATGCAGTGCTGGGTGGTGTGCTGCATTGTCAAAGGTGCCAACCTCCAGAGTAAATTGAGGTCCCGTCTGCCTGTTCAGGTGGACGTTAAAGATCCCATGAAAAGATTTACTATAAAAGATACAAGAATATAAAAAGAGAAGGGAGTTTCTCTCTCTCACTCCTGGCCAACAATCCCCCAGATAAAATCAGTCACTCACTTCATGGCTGTTTGTGGGACATTGCTGTGCGAAAATTAGCTGCCATGTTTGCCTACAAAATACACAGTTGTTGTATTTCACAGTAAAATCCTGTGATGTTCTGTGTTGTTAAAGGCGTAATATCAAATGCGAGGATTATTATTATTATGAGTTGCCCATGGGAGCCCAGACGGTGCTGTTCCTACCTCGATCACTAGGAGTGATGGAGAGCCAGCTCAGAATCATTGACCTGGCACAGCTCAGTCAAGTCTTCGAGATGTCAAGAATAATGTGATAAGGCTGTATCAAATGTAAGGATGATTATTATTATTATTGTTCAGGTGGACTTTAAAGATCCCAAGACACTATTGGAAAAGAGAAGGGAGTTTCTCCTGGTTTAGTGACTGTATTTTGTAGGTGAAATATGGCAGCCAATTTGCAGACAGCAGTTTTCCACAAACAGCCATGGGAGTGAGTGACCATTTTTAGTTGGAGGATTGTTGGCCAGAACACCGGGAGAGAGAAACTCTCTTCTCTTTTCGAATAGTCCCATGGGATCTTTAACATCCATCTAAACAGGCAGACACGACCTCGGGTTAACGTTTCATCCGAAGGACGGCACCTCCAATAAGGCACGACACCCCCCAGCACTCCACTGGTTTAGCATCTTAGTCAATGTGAGTTCAGGTCCTAACACAGCGCTTGAACCCACAACCGTCTGACTCAGAGGTTAGAGTGCTACCCACTGAGCCAAGCTGACAAACAAATTCATGATAATCACAAAAAGGTTTGGAAAGCTGTACACTGTGGGGCAGTGGGAACGTATGATTCTCTGTCACAAACCAGCGTAGAGGCAAAGTCTAAAATTTTGCCCTGTAGCGTAGTAGTTAGGTCGCTCGCCTCACAAGGGAGAACACCCAAGTTTGAATCCCGGACAATTCGAAATCTTAGGCAAGTTTCCTTACTCCACATGCCTCTATTTATCTAGCAGTAAGTTGGAACCCAGTTGCTGGTCGATTGGCAGATCACTTTCCGGAGGTAATATTCCCTTAAAAAAAAATAATTTGGTCACTCAATCCACGACTGTTTGTGGGACTCTGCTGAACGCAATTGGCTGTCACATTTTGCCCACAAAATATTCAGTCAATTCACTTCACAGTCTAATCTATGAAGCGCTTTGAGACATCTCAATGAAGTGATAAGGCGCTATATCAAATGCAAGGATTACTATTATTAAAATAGTTTTAAGGGGAATTAGAGAGATGCTGGTGAAGGAGGGACATCACAGGGTGTGGGGGAGTGAGGGGAGAGGGCGTGTCACAGAATATGGAGGAGAGAGGGGAGCGAGAAATTAGACTGGGTGGAGAGGAACACCAGCTTGGACTTGTTTCAGTGATGATACAGACTCTGATTCAATGAAAATGACACAACATGTTGACTGTACAGACAGCCCGTGCTGTCAGACTGCGTTGTGGGCTCAACTGGTTAAAGCTGCTGCATGGTGAGAGAAGTTATTTTCATAATTTTACAAATAAATGATACGTTTATCATTGTTAGTCGATTGGCGGATCACTTTCCAGAGATAATAATCCTTCACCCCCCAAAATAATAATAATTTGGTCACTCCATATACGACTGTTTGTGGGTCAGTGCTGTGAGCGGTTGGTTGCCGCATTTCGCGCACAAAATAGTAGTCAATCCACTTTACAGTATATCCTGTGAAGCGCTTTGAGACGCTTCAAAGACGTGATCAGGCGCTGTATCAAATGCAAGTATGATTATTATTATTTAATGCAGAGCTGTGGTGCCCACCAGGAAGCTCGCAGGGAAGGGCGTTCTTGGTACCTACCATCCACCTAGTGAGGCTCAAACCCACACTGGTCGGATGCCAAACGACCAACTGGTGACTATCCTCCTTGGGGAGGGGAGGTTAGCAGGGACTCCTTGGAGGTAAACTGGCTCCAAAGTGACATGCCTGGCAATGGAATGTCTGAATCGAGCCGGCCCTCTGAGCCAGGCAAGTCCGCAGTATTCCAGGGCACTATTGATAACAGCACAGCCTCGCATGGCTTGTCGGCAGGACTTGGAAGGGCAGACCAGTCACTGGGGGCAGTTAGCACTGGAGTTAACATGCATTGATATATTTGTCTCACAAGCTTTCCCACTGCTTGTCCAGCTAGGACCACCCTATCCGTTAGGGCTTTGGCTTGCAGGTTATCAGGAGCTGAGTGGGAGTATTCTCTCAGTGATTGGTCTGGGCTTTCAGTTTCTAAAGCACTCCCCTAATATCCACAACTCCCTCTCTCCATCCTTTTATCTGGGTCCTTCTAATTCCATCCTTTTAACTCGTGCCTTGAAAGAGGCAAGGGAGCTGGGGAGGCAAAGGGACTGTGAGATGAGAGTTCCAAAGGGTGGGGGCAGAGAGGCTGAAGACCCAACTACCGATGGTCGGAGGGGACGGGCGGAGGACGTGAAGCAGGCTGGGACCTGCTGAGCGGAGGGAGGGAACAGGTTGATATGGTGTTAGCAGGTCACAGAGGTAGGGAGGAGCAAGAGGCCGCGGAGGGCTTTAAAGTTGAGGACAAGGATTTCTAACTCTAACCTCTGGGGAGACAGTGGAGCCAGGTGAGGATGGGGGTGAGAGTGTCACAGAGCTTGGTGTGGGAGAGGACACAAGCGGCAGAGTTCTCGATGATCTGCAGATCGTGCAGAGTTGGGAAGACAATCCCGCCAGGCACGAAGAACGCTATGTAAATGCAAGTTGTTGTTGAAGCATCAGCCTCCGCCACTGTTAAGTGCTCCGAGATACTGCCCCGCGAGAAGGTTGTGGTGCAAATGCAAGCTGTTGTTTTTGTTGTTTGAATCAGACCTCACCCCCACGCACAGCTGTCTCTCTCTCTCAGCACCAAAGCGCCTTTCACAATGGGGAAACCTCCCAGCAAACACCAGCAGCAGCACACACAATAATCCTTTCACACACTAAATCAATCCAACACTGAAAATAACATTCCTGCCAGCTCGATGCGTCAGCATATTGCAGTCAGAGTCCCTTAAACACTGTGGTGTCCGGTGTTTAGGGGACCATTTAAATAAACCCTGAATCGTGACAGGTACTTTTTAGTGGGTGTGCGGGGTAGCGCGGGGTGGCGTGTCAACTGGGTGTGTGACACACAGGGAAACCCATCACCGTTGCATGAGAGGCTCCAAACCAAACTGAGAATTCCATGCCATCCCACCTACACGTGGAAATTCCAGAGATGGATTGTTGGAATAAAATGCATTACTCTCTCTTCGCTTACCTAATTCCGGAGAGTATTTAGGCATAAGTTAGCAAGAACCAAGGCTTGGGGACCCCAGAGTGTGCGTTGGAGTAACTGCAGGCTGGCGTGAAGCCTAAACTACATCAGTCTCAAAGCTCAAATAATATCAGGAGTTTTCCCAGTGGAAACAATTCTGACGGACTTACTTTCCTTCAACCAAGATAAGAAAAAAAAAGTTTTTTTGGTGGGCGGAGAAGGGAATTTTAATTTTGTTTTTGAAAAAAAATCCATAATTGAATTAAGTAGATTTCACAGGGTTTGGGGAGAAGGTGTGATACAGCTTATGTCTATATACCTGGGAAGACACACTGGTAATTTACCCTCTCCCACCCCCCCACCACACACATTCAACAACAATAATATAATAATCCTCACATTTAATAAAGCTTCTTATCACATCGTTGAGATGTCTCAAAGGGCTTCACAAGATATACTGCAAAGGGGATTGACGATGTATTTTGTGGGTGAAACACACAGCAGCCAATTGCTCACAGCAGTGTCTCACAAACCGTCGTGAATTGAGTGACCAAATCCTTATTATTTTTTTTTAAATCACCAGGGATTTACTACAATCTGCGAATTGACTGGGTTCCTATTTACTGCTAGGTAAACAGAGGAGTGTGGAGTATGGAAACCTGCCCAAGGTTTCGCCCCGCCCGGGAAACGAACCTTGGTTCTCTTGCTTGCGAGGCGAGGGCGCTAACCACTACGCTATGGGACTCCATCGTTTAGAAATTTGGGTACCTGTTGAGCAGATTACTGGTGCATTAAGCGTTCTCTCACTCCTACCCCCACCCCACCACCACCACCCCCACTCCACCAACCCTCTCTATACACTGGTTGACAGCTGCTGACTTTCTCTGTCCAGCTCCAAACACAGCAATCCAGAGTCTCACCACGTCCAAAACTGTGCATCTGGACTGTAGTAAATCACCCCCCCCCCACCCCCTCCACACTCACACATACACACACTCACTCACTCACTCAGACTCCCTCCCCAACCAAAAAAAAAGGTATGTGTGTGTGTGTGTGTGTGTGTGTGGAGGAGGGGGGGAACTGCTAAGTGCATTCAACGTTGGTCCTCAAACTTTTTTTTAAAGGGGGGGGGGGAGGGAAGAAAGTAACACCACCATGTCAATTTCAGGCTCTCTCCCCATTCACAAGATCCCAAATCACAGCTAAGATGTCTCTCTCTCTCACACACACACACACACACACAGCAACACAAGATAGATTTCAGCAGATCAAAGGGCTTTGCATGTTCCCCAGCCTTTGCTCTCTTGTCTGTCTGTCTGTCTGTCTGTCTGTGTGTGTCTGTCTGTCTGTCTGTCTCTCTCTCCTTCCCATCCCACAAAGCCAGAAAGATTTCTAAACTTTCCCCAGGGCTAAAGGGGGGTTGGGTTGGGATGGGGTGGGGTGGGGTAGGGTGGGGGGGAGAGAGAGAGAGAGAGGGAGAGAGACCCACTGACCTGTGGCTGCATTATTAACTCAACTCACCCGCTTTGCAGGGGTCTCTGTAGTCGATCTCAGGTTCTCCCACGTCGTTCTCGGTGTAATCCCGACTCAGCGCAAACTGCCCGACTCCGCACAGGAGAGCAGCCAACAGCAGCCACTGTGAGCACCGACCAGGCATCGTCTAACCTGGGGAACAAGTGCGGGAGGGGAGGGGAGGATGGGTGGGTGTGTGTGTGGGGGGGGTGGGGGGGGAGGGAGGGAAGGAGAGAGGGAGGCTGCAAAGAAAAGGAAAAAAAGGCAGGAGTGTGGAGTGAGAGGCTTTGTTTTTGTGGAGCTGGGAAGTCGTGCAATGCAATGCAATGCTCTCTCTCTCTTTTTTTTTGCAGTTTGGGAGCCAGTTGCAAAGTGCTCTCTGGTCCTTCTGGCGTTGGGGGTTCTCTCTCTCTATCTCTCTATTTATCTCTCTATCTATCTATGTGTCTCTCTCTCTCTTTCTCTATCTGTCCCTCGCCCTGGTCCAGTCTTTTGGTGTCCTCTCTCTGTCCCTCTGTGTGTGTGTGTGTGTGTGTGTGTCTCTCTCTCTCTCTCTCCAGTCTAGTTTGTACCCTCTGCCTCTCTCTCTCTCTCCCCCCCTCTCTCTCTCTGTGTGTGTGTGTGTGTCTGTGCGTCTCCAGCGCTCTGATCACTCACTACAGCATTGCTACAGAGAGAGAGAGAGTGGCACTTCCTGGGTTGGCCTCTCTGCTCTCTCTCTGCTCTGCACTGCCTGTCTGTCAATGGTCGGCTTCTCAGTGGCGGAGTGAGGAGCCGGGGCGGGGGGACTGGGCTGAGCGGGCAGCCCGGGCTGGGGGGCGCCCTGGGCCGGGGGAGAGCTGCAGCCCGGGGTGGGTCGGTGGGTGGGTCGGTGGGTGGGTGAGTGGGCAGTGGGTGGGTTTGCGGTTAAAGTCCGACCTGTTGCAATGTTTAAATTAAAAAAAAATCCTTGCATTTTGATATAGCGCTTTTCGCGTCGGGGAGACGTCCCAAAGCGCTTCACAGAACACACTGTAAAGTGAATCGACTGTGTATATATTTGTGGGCGAACGCGGCGGCGGCCGATTGCGCACAGCGATGTCCCACGAACAGTGGCGGATTGAAAATGACCAATTTATTATTGGTTTGGGAGGGATTATTATTAGTATTATTATTATTATTATTATTTACGAACTCCCTGAGATATTACGACAGTTTACAATAAGATTCTTATTGCAAAGTCCACCGGGAAAAAAAAAAGGAGCTGCAATTGGGAAATAATATTTTACACTATTTTGATAAGTTGTATGATGTCTATTTTCCACGTTGCGTTTTGGGGTGAAAAAAAGTAAAAAACGCCCCCGTTTTTTATTTCTTTTAATCGTTTGCAATGTCTTAACCGTTGCATTTTCCATTCGGGATGTTAACCCTTTTGCATTCGAGACGGCGCTGCATCGCGTCTTCCGAGACGTCTCAAAAGCGCTTCCGCGGAATATACTGTCAAGTGAATGGGCTGCATATTTTGTGGGCGAAACGCGGCAGCCGGTGGCGCACGGCGGCGTCCCACAAACACTCGTGGATCGGGTGACAGTCGGGGATTTTTTGGGGGGAGGGATTGTTGCCCCCGGAAGGCGATCCGCTAATCGACTAACAATCGGGTCCTCTCTTGCAATTTTTCTTTTATAATATTTACATCTCTCCTTCCATTTCCCTTATCCTTCCTTGGTTCGCGCTCTCTTCCCTCCTTCCAACCCTCCCTCTCGCCATCCCTTTCGCTCCCCCCTTTTCCTCGCCTCCCATCTCTCTCTCTCTCTCTCGCCTCCTTCCATTCCCCTCTCTCTCCTTTCATCTCTTTCTCTCCTGCTCCTTCCATCCTTCCCTTTGGCTCACTCCCTCTCTTTCTCTGCCTTTTTTTCCCCTCTCACCTTTGAAGTCTGTTCCTGCCCACACAGAATGGAAATCTCCTTGTGGTGCCTAATCTGTGAAGCTTTTGCACCTTTGGACGTTGCCTTTTGGACCTGACGACAAATGGTTTCCCAGAGAGATTGCTGCCAACTGACCTTTAGCCCACACGGGATTACATTACACAACCTCTCACAGCTCTGCCAAGGGAGCTCCACCAACTAACTCCCCCCCCCCCCCCCACCCCACCGCCTCTGCTTTCTGCCAGCGCACACACCATCTAGCGATTGGTAACTGATTAAGTATATATTTTAAAAAAACCTCTCTCTCTGCCCATGACTGACCAGGGTGTGGAGTTAACCTAACTTAGTGAGAAGGTATTTCCAAATAATAATAATAATCCTGGCATCGGATATAGCGCCTTATCACAGCGTTGAGACGTCTCAAAGTGCTTTACAGAATATACTGTAAAGTGGATTGACTGAACTTTGTGGGCAAAATAAATTGACAAGTGCATGTTCCACTCCAACAATGTCTCTGGGATTTCCATGTGTAGATGGGATGCACGGAATGCTCAGTTTGATTTACTCTTAAGCACGTTGATGAGTTTCCACAGGAGTGTCAGACATCCGGCTGACACTGATATTATTGGCCAGGACACCGAAAGGACAACAACAAAATTACATTTGTATAGCACCTTTCACGTGAGGAGGCTGTCCCAAGGTGCTGGAGAAACTCCCTTTTCTTTTCCAATAGTGCCATGAGATGCTTAATGCCCACCCGAACAGGCAGACGGGACCTCGGGTTAATTCATCCGAAGGATGGCACCTCCGTCAATGCAACGCCCCCCCCCCCCCAGTGAGAGTGCTACCAACTGAGACAGGTTGACACATTTAATCGGTCAAAATGCCTGAGTGCTTCACGATTTCTGTCAAGTGTAGTGACTGTTTTTATTTGCAGATGTGCCAGCCATTTCCGTATTGTGAGTTCCCATCAACAGCCATTTGAGGGGAACACCTGATGTACGTGGGGATTGTTGGCCAGGACACCGGGAGAAACTATTTTTTTCTTTTCCAATGCGTTCACGGGATCTTTAACGACCATCTGAACAGATAGACAGGACCTTCGACGTTTCATCTGAAGTACAGTACCTCTGACAATGCCCCACCTTCCTAGCACCGCACTGGAGTGTCAACCTGGTCACTCGGACACGACCATTCAATCCACCGAGACAACTGTTGGTGCTAACTTCTCGACTGGACTGGACTCATATGCTCTGATCCCAGCCCAGTCATTGTTGCAGTTTAAGACTCGCTTGCAAAGCACTGGAATTCATAAGCAATAATCCTTACCTTTGATATAGCGCTTTTCACATCCGGGGGACGTCTGAAACTGCTTCACAGGATACACTGTAAAGTGTAGTGACTGTGCATTTTGTGAGCGAGCTCGACAGTCGATTCTGAGTACAGCAATGTTCCACAAACAGTCGTGGATTGAGTGACCGATTTTTATTTGGGGGATTGTTGGCCAGGACACCAGGAGAGAGAAACTCCCTTCTCTTTTCGAATTGTCCCATGGGATCTTTAACATCCATTTGAACAGACAGACGGGGAGCTCAATTTAACATCTCATCCGAAGGACAGCACCTCTGACAATTCGAATAGTTTGCCTTTAAGAAGAGAGGATGCTGTAGAGGCGTGCTCGATATCCAATCTTTATCTTACATCAATATTTTTTTGCCACACACAAGAAAAAAATCATTTTCAACCTTTAAGATTAACCGGACGCCTCATCCCAAGACATTACAATCAGAATTATTCACCAGACAGTTGTCAAAAACAAGAACAAACAGGAATTAGAATAGCAAAAAACAATATTGAAACATTTCTGCAAATACCTGTGGCATCTTGGGACGTCCTCCCGATATGTAAGGCGCTACATTTTGTTTGTTTCTGTTGTTGAATCCTCACACTCTGCAAGTGTGACGCACTCTATATCCTTCTTTGCACCGTCAGGAAAGTTCAATCAACTCACAGCCAAGTCACTGTTGTAATCTTTGCAATCAACCATTTCCTCACAAGTACAATTGCAAATGGGGGTCAGGGTTATAGGCATGGAATCTAACCTGCATTTGTAGGACTATAATCCCATCATAAATTATTCGAAGAGTCTCCAGGCTGTTTTCTTCACAAGTCTGGGACCTTTTAGAACAATCCTTGCATTTGACATAGAGCCTTATCACGTCTTCAATCCGTCTCAAAACGCTTCACAGAATATACTGTAAAATGAATTGACTGCATACGTTGTGGGTGAAACACGGGAGCCAATTGCACATATCAATGTCCCACAAACAGTCGTGGGATTCAGTGACCAAATTGTTACTATTTTTGATTAAGTGATTATTACCCCATGAAAGGCGATCCACCAATCGACTAACAACTGGGTTCCTATTTACTGCTAGGTAAACAGCAGCGTGTGGAGTAAGGAAACTTGCCCAATGCTTTGCCCTGCTCGGGAATCACACCTGGGTCCTCTCATTTACGAGGCAAGAACTCCATCCACTAAGCTACAGGACTCCACAGTTTGATTTTACCAAGTCAGCATTGGATTTCAAATCATCAGGTTAAAAGGAGCAGCTTTAAAATATGCACATTAAAAACGTAGTATCATCTTAAAGAACTAGATCATGTCAATGAACTCTTAATTGTTTCATAATAAGAGAATAATGCTCCACTAAATATACTTTTTGCTGTTTTGTGGGAAGCTGTTTTGATTGCATAAATTTGTTAAATGACCCTTGACCATATGGTTGTGTATCGCGCATTGCTAAACTTACTGAATATTTAATACTGCAAACTTCACACTTGGAGAGGTGGCATTATCTATCGGATAGTGCAATTTTTTCTGTGATAGTCACTGTGAGGAAAGGTTGGTTTATTTTGCTCTGTGGAGACAGATTCCTCAGTATATATTATTTTAGAGAGATGGGGAGGGGGGGAGGAAGCATTATAATCTTATCTGAATCTTCATTATGTTTACACACCAGTTTCACACCAGCTGACCCGTGGGTTTGGTTACAGCCTTGTAATTAACTCCCTGCTGTTACAGAAATCTCACACCACAAGGGGTTTAGAAACACATCCAAGACAATGACTGATTTCCCAGTGCAAAATCGGAGTGCAATATAGAAGGTGAACAGTTCAACTCTCCGTCAAATGCCAGCCGTCTGATCCACAAAGACCTTCAGATATTAAAGTGTGTTTGGTTATAAGGGGGTTGACTCCATCTCTTATCAAACACTGGTGTGGGTGATTACTGTAGCAAACCTGCCGCTCACCGAGGTGTGGTCGAGGAAAGGAAGGTCCCCTCGAACATTTATTTTCTTCATAAACAAACATCTATTTTCCTTATAAACAAGTCCCATACTTCTGAAAGACCTTGACGGTTGGGGGAAGGGAGGGAGGGAGGGAGGGATAGAGACCTAGATGGGGGAAGAGAGAGAGGGAAACCTAGACAATAGGGAGAAACGTAGCACTCACATATTAGCAGAGCGGCAGCTTGTAAGCACTGGACGTGGATGGGAGCTGGGACTGTTTGGGAACAAGTGCGATAAAGCTGGAGAGAGAGAGAGCTAATTCAGATAATTCAAAGGGTGGGATCCAGTCATCTGAAAATGCACCCAGTCTCAGCATGAGTTTATTTTGCCTTAAAATTTAAAAAGCCTCAGAATTGTGAAATATTCTTAAAATCCGGTTCTTCGAAATGAAAGTGAATTGAAGAACTTCCCACTATTTTGGCAGCATCTTAATACTGCAGATGAACAGTTACTGTGAAACAGAGCGACTGTATATTTTGTAGGCAAATGCAGCAGCCAATTTGCACACAGCAGTGTCCTACAAACAGTCGTGAAACAAATGACCAATTTTTCTCTCTTTTTGAATAGCATGTGGTTTAATTATTTTTTAATCTGAACAGGCAGACGGACCTCGGTTTAACATCTCACCCGAAAGACGGAAACTAATATCAGTTTAAGGTAAAACAGCCTTGTGGGAATTTCAGGCTCTGAATATACCTGACCCATCCTGCCAACTTAAAGAGAAACGTGGCTTTTCTCTCAGACCACAATAAAAATTCAACCTTTAAAAACCAACAAATAATTCTTGGTGCCTGCTTATGTTCTGAAAAGTTTTTATTTTGTTTTCATTGTTCCTGACACTCTGAAGCAGTTAACGGTTCAGGTTGATGCACACACACAGAGCCCAGGTAAGGAATTAACAAAAAAAAATTAATTTAGATTGGAAATTACAATGGTGTTGAGATTTGGGAGAATAGCAAAGAGCTCTGTAACATCCACACACAGAATGAAGATTATCATTTTCATGCAATGGAAGGAAGGCAAGATGGAAAAAAAAAGCCACCCAAACAAAAAAAAGTCACATTTATACACCAAATTAATTTGTTATCAGAAAGTACTATGCAATAAATCTGTACATCCAAATAAATTTGGGATCTACGTCTAGAGTTACATTATAAGGTTATATACATTTATTACCCCCTTTTTTCATAACTTGAGTAAAACCTTCATTCCAACCGCAACATAAAACAAGACTAAATTGCAGACTAACTCTCGGAGGAGGAAACGAAACGCAGAAGAGATCGAGAAGAAATTATTCGATACGCCCAATTAAAACATTTCACTTAGACCTGAAAAGCTGTCTAATAAAAACTATGAACAAACTGCCAGGCTATTCTAACAGTGTGCGGTTGCGTGTGGTTTAATTTTTTTTTATATGCTAACTATACAGTGAATTTCAGTGCAGATGAGGCTCTGTCCTGAGCTTTCACTCTTTGGATGGACTGAATTTGACAAGAACTGAACTTTCTGCAATTCTGGACTTTTGAGAGACTGGATTCAGGTGGTCCATTAACAGCAGACGTCTCGCGTTAAGAGCTGGCTGTCAGGAGTTGGTAAGCAAATGTGAGGGTGAAGTTACAAATGGAAATAGATGCAATAAGCGCCCAGGATCAATAAGGTACAGATCACAGCAGTGAGAGAGGGGGTGGGGGGGAGGGTGTTGTTTAAGCGATGGCTGCAAAATAAAGAGAGAGATTTTTCTGGATTATCTGATCATTTAGAGACGGCACCTGAATAATCAAAGAATGAATGAATGGTGGCGTGGACATTTAAGTCGGATTTTGTTTTGGATTTAAATAAACTATTTGTCCTCTTCACTGAAGAGAGCTAGTCTATTCTTCATTAAATGAGCTATGTTTTTTGGGGGGTTTGGGAAGGTTAGCACTATATTGTAGTAATGCTTACTGCATATAATCCAAGCTTTTGCCCAAGAGTTGGACAAAGCAGTCTGTAAGAACGCAGGATCAAGGACCGCCGGTGGTGCTTTAAGCTTCCATGAATGGAATCCACGTTATACCCAGTGTTAACCAATGTCTCCTTGCAGCTCAAACTGCAGTCCAGCCTAAAGCAGAAAACAGTAACTGATCCACACCTCCCAGTTCTCTGGCCTTCCTTCCTTAGTCAATTTTCACATTGGTGTAGATCTTTCGAACAAAGGCACTTGTTCCCATGTAACCGACAGCACCTGCGGATAGTCAAATAATCAAACAATAAATAATCTTTGTATTTGATATTGTGCCTCATCATTTCGGAAGTACATCTCAAAGCGCTTCACAGGATTTACTGTGAAATTAGGTGACTGTGTATTTGTAGGCAAATGCAGCAGCCATACCAGTTGCGGCTAGCAGTGTCCCACAAACAGCCATGGAGTGAGTGACCAGTTTTATTTGGGGGGTTGTTTGCCAGGATACCAGGAGAGAGAAACTCCATTCACTTTTCCAATAGTGCCATGGGATCTTTAACGTCCACCTGAACAGGCAGATGAGACCTCAGTTTAATGTATCATCTGAAGGACGGCACCTCTGACAATACAGTACTCCCTCGAGCACTGTACAAGTCTGTTAAAGAACACAAGGCTGTGGTACCTGGAGACCTGTATAAAATGCTGACACAAGCAGGCTGAGAGAATACTCATTAAACCCCAGCCAGCACTGGAAAGTTACCTTTTCTCTCTCTCTCTGTACGCGGTTACAATTTACTGTTTCCATTAACATCAGCAACAGTCAGAACAAAGAAACAGAGCTGAAAGTTCAAACCTATTAAAGAATAAAAGACTGACAGGCTGCAGAGCGGTCGGGGGCTCGTGTTAATCTGCCAAATGCAATATTGCAAGACAGAGCGATTTGGTCAGTGTGTAGAGAGAGAGAGTCGTCTCATTATAATGTTCAGCTTCTGGCTTTCCTTTGTAGTTGTGAAGGCGAGCCTGCAAGTGCCCTGCACGCCGTCCGTCACGGGGAGAAGAACAGAAAGCCCACTGGCCTCCGGCTGCAAGGCATTGTAATGAGCAGCTTCTTTGCATTAATCCCACTTTAACTGTGCCCCACAGAGTGCTCGATACAGTCAGAGCTTCACTAATGAGAAGCATACCACCCCCACGTTGCAGCATCCGTCAGGCCTTCGCAGGCTCACACCTCCCTGCTCCACTCAAGTGGGGGAAATGCAATTGAACAGCCCACCCTGTGTCAAGTGGGCACTCTATTTTACGTCCTCGCGATTAATCTGTTAACCTCTAAGGACTAGGCCCCCCTCCCACAATCAGGACATTCAAACTTGCCGGCCAGTTATGGATTTGCACCCGAGCTTGGGGTCGGGATCAGTAGACGTGGAGGGCAGGGAGGGTGGGTGTAAGGGTGGCTGAAAGCACGATCAAAGAGGAATAACAACAAAATTACATTTGTAAAACTCCTTTCAGGTCGGAAGGATGTCCCAAGGCACTGAACAGTCGGGGATCAGGACCCGAGCGTGGGGGGGCATGGTTGGGATGAGGGAGGGCAGAGGGGGTAGGAGGGCGGTGAAGGCACGGTCAAAAAGGAGGGTCTTGAGTCGTGCCTTGATGGAGGCAAGAGAGGGAGCAAAGCAAAGGGATTGTGGGTTGGAGTTCCAAAGGGTGGGGGCAGAGGGGCTGAAATCCCGGCCACCGAGGGTGGGAGACATGGAGCACGCCGGAACCTGCTGAACAGAGGGAGCGGACAGGTTGATAGGGGGTCAGCAGGTCAAAGATGTAGGAGGGGACAAGGCCATGGTGGGCCTTGAAAGTGAGGACAAGGATTTTGACCTCTATCCTCTGAGAGATGGGGAGCCAGTGGAGCCGGGGAAGGGTGGGGTTGATGGGGTCACGGAGCCTGGTGTGGGAGAGGATACGAGCTGCAGCGTTCTGGTGATCTGCAGCTTGTGGAGGGAAGAGTTGGGGAGGCCGACAAGGAGGGAGTTTCCGTAGTCGAGCCATGAGTTGATGAATGCGTGTATGAAGGTTTTGGCGGCCTGAGGGGTGAGGCAGTGACGGAGTTGGGCAATGTTGCAGAGTTGGGGTAAGACAGAGCGGGTTATGGCACGGATGTGGGGGAGAAGGTCTTGAGATGGATCTTGAAGGAGGCGAGGGAGGGGGCGAGGTGGAGGGACTGTGGGATGGAGTTCCAGAGGGCAGCATTCACGCAGTAATTATTCATTTTAGTCAAATAACTGCAATAGTTACAGACAGTATTGTGGTATTGAAAATTGCTCTGTATTCAGATTACACTGCACCTGTGGGAGGGTCAGAATTAATGACTGATGGTTTCAGCTGAATTGCTCAGATATTACAGTCTGCGTTTTACAACTGATACTCGAGCACACAACAGGGCGAGCAGGGAATGGGATTAGAGTAGACATCTACAGTGGGGGAGCAAGCACCAGCACAGACACAATAGGCTGAAAGGCCTCTTTCTGTGCTGTAAACCATTTAAAACTAAGGCGCTGTAGCAAATGAAAGGATTATTATTATTAGAGACAGATTTCTCTAGCACGCAACCGTCTGTGGTTTGAATTAATTGTGTGTAGCAAACACTAGCCAGTCTTCACAGCAAGTTTTTCACGGTGACACTAAACATGTTCATTGTGAAATCCTCCAGAAAGATAGTGACGGATTTACTGAGCTCTGGTGTCTGAATAGCAGGAAAGCTACTCGTATCCATGCTGGTATGTGATCATGTAGAGGCAGCATCGCCTTGTAACTGAATTCATTTTGAATCTTTTGAATCTAAGCTTTAAGCTCAATTAATGGAGTGTAATAAGCTAGGTGGAATTTCAATTAGGAAACTTACAATTGCAGGCGTGCAATTCTGGCAAAACACAGTTGATTCAGTTTAAATTTTGGCTTTCACAAGAGAATACAGCTAGATTATATTCTCCCCCACCCCCGAACATTCTCATTGGGGAGGAGGGGGCACTGATCACAGGCATTTAGAGCTGGAGCTGAACTGAACGATTTGGAGGAACTGGGAAACGGATCTCGGAAACAGGGTAAACAAGGAAAACCTGAAGTACTGACACACAAACAACAACAAATGACATTTACACAGCCCCTTTCACATCCCAAGGCGCTGGACAGTCAAGGATTTACCTTCCCGGCCCTCCACCCCAAGCTGGGGTTTGGGGTGGAGGGCGGGAATAAGAGAATGATCAAAGACGCGGTCGAAGAGGAAGGACTTGAATGGGCTTTAAAGGAGTCAAGGGAGGGGGCAAGGCGAAGGGACTGTGGTATGGAGTTCCAAAGAGCGGGGGGGCAGTAAGGCTGAAGGGTGGAACGGGCAGGACGGGGGACGTGGAGCAGGCCCGAGTCCGCTTAGCGGAGGGAGCGGACAGATCGGTATGGACTTAGGGGGACAGAGGTAGAGAGGAGCAAGGCCAAGGAGGGCTTTGAAAGCAAGGGCAAGGATTACTGTATTACTAAGAGACTGATCTGTAAAGAGATCTCACAAAATGCAAGTTAAAGTTGATATTGCATTAGTGGAAAAAACACCCCACTTAAACTACACGCACACCACATTCATTCCAATCGAACCAGTACTGCACAAGCATAGAGCAGCTTTCACACTCCTCGAATAACATATGAGCAATTCCAAATTCATTTTGGGCCGAGGACTAAAAATACACTCGTGTTCCAGAATTAAAGCAGAGACAACTGGTGAAAGAAAAGCTGCTATCCACAAGCTTCCCCCTAGTATAACCTGAGAGGTGTAATGGAGATTTGGTGAGTTACGTGCAGGTCCCATCTTGTCCAATTTAACACTTTAAATCAATTAGATTCTTTCAATTACTTTCTGATGCTCTTTGTGTGAAACATGTACATTCCAAGCAAAAATTTTAAGAAACATGCTGAGAATTAATTCCCCATGTCAATATTATGGCAGGTTGTGGGTCAGATTACATCAAAAGTATCATCAATCTTAACAAGAACATAAGAAATAGGAGCAGGAGTAGGCCATTCAGCCCCTCGAGCCTGCCCCGCCATTCAATAAGATCATGGCTGATCTATTCTAACTCCACCTACTCGCCTTATCCCCATATCCCTTAATCCCTTTATCCACAAGAAATTTTTGGGCGAAACGCAGCAGCCAACTGAACACAGCAGTGTCCCACAACAGTCCTGGATTGATCACATTTTATTTTTGATGGGATTATTATTGAAAGGCACTTTACAAATGTAATTTTGTATTGTATTATCCCTGGAAAGCGATCCGCCAATCAACTAACAGCCAGGTTTCTACTTACTGCTAGGTAAACAGAGGCTTGTGGAGTAAGGAAACTTGCCCAACATTACGCCCTGCCCGGGAATCAAACCCAAGTCCTCTCATTTGCAAGGTAAGTGCTCTAACCACTTAGCCTTACATTTGGTATCGTGGATTTCAAGTCAGATGGACATCCCAAAAGGCTTCACAGTACAGATGGTGGAGGTTCTGAAGCTTGCAATTTGCACACAGCCATTAAGTAACTGGCCAGAGGTTGGGGGAAGGATCTTGAATTTGATCCTCTGAGGGAGGTGGAGCCAGTGAAGTCGGGCGAAGATGGGGGTGATCAGCTCACGAAGCTCAGTGCAAGACCTGGATGTATAATTATGTCAGAGTGTCTTTGCTAAGCTACCTCCTCAATTCCTGCATGTTACACTGCCACACCAGGGCAACTGCTGCAGCTGAGCTCTTACACCCTACTATTCACCTGCCAACCAAACCTCCAGGTTTCAGCCTGGACAGTGACAATATCAGCTGTGTGGAAAGTGAACAAGGACTGGTTTACCAAATTCACATTACAGTGGATGGACTGTGGGCAAGCATTATCTTTCTCCAGCTGGGTTTACGCAACAATCATTGCTCAAGGTGAAAACTGCATTTGCGACCTGTATTGCCCTTGGGTAGTAGAGGTTAAGTGCCAATTAAGTGCTCTGGGCTGCTGCCCTGCGTGACAGGTGCTATATAAATGAAAGTTGTTGTTGTTGCCCCATGCTCAGTCTCTCCCCATCCCATCTTCACTGAAACAGTAAGGAAGAAGCGAGACCTGATCCAGGTCTGTAAAGTTATTGTGGGATTTTGATGATAATAAAAATAACCCTTGCCTTTGATATAACTCCTTATCACATTGTTGAGATGCCTCAAATAACTCACAACCTTCTGACTCAAGAGGCGAAAGTGCTACCATTGTGTCAGGTTTGACAGAGTTGATGGGGAGAAATTATACACACTGGTCGGTGAGTCACTGTCGAGAGGGCATCAATTTAAGATATGTAAACAAGCAAAAGAGGGAGGAATATTTCAACACAGAGCTGTAGCACATGGAATACCGAGAGGGGGTTGGTTGAGGCAGAACTGATATTTAGGTACGAGGAAAAGTCAGGGACTTAAAGGACTGCTCTTTCAAAGAGCAACACAAGGCATGTTGGGTCGGATGGCCTTCTGTACTGTAAAGCTTTACAGTTTTATGAATGCTGACCAGGGCACTGGGAGAAACTTTATTCGGAATTGTAATGTCCACCTGAACAGGGAGACAAGACCTCAGTTTATATCCAAAACAATGCAGCAGTGCCCTGCAATCCTGCACACTGGAGTGTCAGCCCTGGCCTTGAGCTTGAGACCCATATAGTGGATTTTCTTCCCGAATAACCCCGAGGCAAGTGAGACTGACTGAGCCAGGCTATCATGCAAGCTTCCAGCCAAGAGGCTCCTCTGCCAAATGAAGTCCTGTCTGGAGATCCTTTACAACTAAGTCAATGGAGCACACAGGGATACGATATGGCTGTCTCTGCAAGTCAACTGGTATGTCACTGTAATCTTCACGCAATCCCACGAAGAAGTACCAGGAGCAGCCAAGGGATGAAACAGACCTGGGGAAGATTTCTCCTCAGGTGCTAGCTTTCCATTTGATTTCTGGGCAATATCACGGTGTGTAAATAACAAGTTGCATTTATATAATGCCCTTTCCTAGGCACTTACCTACCTTGCTGACCTGTTTTCTCCCCACTCCACTACCCGCTGCCACCAGCCTCCTGCTTGTCCCTCGTCCCCTCCACCATTGGCTACCGCACTTTCAGCCTCGAAGCTTTGAAACTCTCCATCAATCCCTCCACCTTGCCCCCTCCTTCCCCTCTTTTGGATCACGAGTGAAGACCTTCCTCTTTGACCGTGCTCAGGGTCACCTCCTCCCTCCCCACGGCTAGGATTCGCACTCCACCACTATTAAGCACTCCGAATCGCTGTCCAACTGCAGTTGTTGCTGTTTCTTTTTCGACCGTGCCTTTGGTCAGTTTCCTCCCCCTTGGCCCTGGTATCCGTTACTGTGAAGCGCTCTGAGACGCCGTCCGGTGTGGAGGGCACTATATAAATCCAAGTTGTTGTTTACACACTGAGATATTGCCCAGAAATCAACGGATTTCAAGGTAAAGTAACAGATCCACCCTGAGGGCCCCTTCTTCCCTCCACAATATCATGTTTATTGAATCAGTTCCCCAAGAGGAAGCCTCCTCCAGCTGCCCAGGTCTGATATCTCCCAAGAGGAGGAATTAAAATTAGCAACTGTAAATCGAGACACGCACAGGATGATTCCAATCCCCAAATTAAATACAGCATCAAGAGCTCATTTTGGCTCTCACTGGCTGCTTCCTGTCCTTGTGAGCGATTCCGAACTTCAGTCTCACTCCAATCGACACAGTTCTCCGGATATACATTCACAATTAATATGTGTGTGTGCGCTTGCTTAGACAGAGGATGTGCGTGTGTGTCTGTCCCATCCTATAAAACAGTCACTACACTTGACCGTGATTACTGTGAAACACTCAGATATCCCAACGTTAGACACTGCACAAATGTAAGTTCTTTCTTTCTAACCAATTCTGTAAGTGCAAACAGGTGACATTTCCATTCCATGATGGCCAGCAGACGAGGCTGACGCCTGGAATGGTTCTTGCATCAGTTGAACACTGGAAAGCAGCGCAAGTCTGCTCACATCTGCAGACAGCTGGACCTTCCAGTAAGGCTGATCACCATGAATAATAAGCTATGATGGATTCTGCTCCACTGATCCTGTTCAGGTCATGCGTGTCCCAATAACCCTCTGTTGATCAATATTTCTCACAACTCTCCCTTTGTATTTTGGACAATGATAATAAATCGATGCCCTCTCATGGAAAAACTGGTGGAAAGAATTCCTCCCCCATTTATCTGAGCAAAACCTCTCCTAATATTGAACCTCTTCTCTTAACCTTTGGTCAAAGCTTTCCCCCTTTGCTCGGTTTTCCACTTCATGTCTGTAAAGCATTTTGAGACCTTGACATTGTGAAAGGTGCTGTATAATAATACTAATCCTTGCATTTGGCATCGCACCTTATGTTGTTGAAACGCCTCAAAGCGCTTCACAGAATATACTGTAAAGTGGAATGACTGTTTTGTCGGCGAATTGCGGCAGCCAATTGCACACAATAGCCCACAAAACAGTTGTGGATTGTGGCACGTTTGCGGCAACAGTATCCCACAAACAGTCGTAGATTGTGTGACCAATTTCGTTTTGAAGGATCATTACCCCCGGAAAATGATCCGCCAATTGACTAACAACCGGGTTCCTACTCACCACTAGATAAACAGGTGTGTGGAGCAAGGCAACTTGCTTAAGGTTTCACCTCACTCGGGAATCAAACCCGGGTTCTCTCGCTTGTGAGGTGAGCCGGTCAACCACTAAGCTACAGGACTCCAATTAACAGTACGTGAAGGCTCGCAGTCAAAGCCCAAACAAAATGAGCAGTCTCCTATATAGTTTCAGATCTCTCTGCTTCTCCCTCTTAATGTGGCTGTAACAGGAGACAGCAAGTGTCTGAGAAAGACTATCAAAGAGCTCACACCTGCTTTTCTAGCTATAAAATAATCTCCACAGGATCCACTGTGAAGTGCAGTGCCTGTATTTTTCAGTGAACATGGCAGCCAATTTGCACACAACAATGTCCCACAAACAGCCATGGTGGGAATGATCCATTTTTATCTGGTGGATTGTTGATCAGGACTCCGGGAGAAACTCTTTTGTGTTTTGAATAATGCCATGGAATCTTTAACTTCCAACTAAATAGGCAAAGACGAGACCTTGGTTTAACATCTCAGCCAACCAACTGCACCTCCAACAATGCAAATTGAATTTGATACAGTGCCTTATGTCGTTGAGACCCCTCAAAGCGCTTCACAGAATATATTGTAAAGTGAATTGACTGTGTATTTTATGTACGAAACACGGTAGCCAATTGAGGACCGCAGTGTCTCACAAGAAGTCATAGATTGAGTGACCAATTTTTTTTTTCTTTTTAGGGATTATTACCCCCAGAAAGCGATCTACAAATCGACTAACATCCAGGTTCCTACTTACTACTAGGCAAACAGAGTTGTGGAGTAAGGAAACTTGTCTAATGTTTTGCCCACTCAGGAATCGAACTCAGGTCCTCTCACTTGCAAGGCAAGCAGGTGATGCTACGGGCCTCTATGTGAGGTGGAAGCGTTGATTCGGTTTACCAGCATTTGCCTGTGGTAATAAAGTTAGGCGCTTGTATCAGCCGTGCAAAATGGGAATTGGTAAGAAATGGCTGAAAGAAACCCGAGAAAAGAGAGCGGGTTCTGGTGTGAGAGAATAAACAGTGCCTATATGACTGCTATTAGGTCGGTGAAGGTTTGTCTCACCAATAATTCATCCATACAAAGTAAAGAGAAATCTGGAATGAATTTACTGCGGTTTATAGTTACAGGTTATGTAACTGTAAACCGCAGTCTAATTTTCCGGAGAGTGCATTGTTGGACTGAAGTCTAGCTTTCGGCACATGATGTCTTCATCTGGTCAAAGTGCGTCTCCAGTGTGGTGCAGTCACACTGGCAGCTGGAGCCCACGTTTCACCACCTCGGTCAACGGTGCAGATACATGGCTGTCCATGCTCGTGTCTCCTCCTTCCCCCACCCCCCCCACCTCCCACACCCACTCTGTGCCCCTCTCTCGAAGCACCCACTTACCACACATGATTCCAAGAGCAGTACTGAACACCGCCATGTAACCAAAGTAGAAGGAGGTCTGAAACAGGCCGTACATCCTAGCACAGGAGTAAAAGGAAGATCAGTCACTTACAATACAGCACGCACAGCTCACAAGATTACCTATGTTTTCTCCTTAAATTATTTTCTTAATAATCAAACAGACACTGACGATTTTATACTCCACAGATGAAGAAAATCATTCATATAATTATACATTTATATACGGTTATTAAGCAATATATGAGATTTTCTTATATATTGTATATATAGAGGCATGAAAAAGCTGGAAGTGGTCACCATTAAGGCCAGGACATGGTTTCATTTAAGGAACAAAGTTGATGTTGTATTGAGAAGATGATAAGATTGGTGAGGATGAGATCAAATGGGTCGAGGAGTTGTTTTCATCCAAGTATCAACCACTGAACCACTGTGATGGGGGTGAGGTGGAGGGATAGGGGATCGAGGGTGGAGGCAGAGAGGCTGAAAACCCAACTGGCGATGGTGGGGCAAGGTGGAAGAGAGAGAATGGAAAAAGCAATGCGGTTGATTTTCTCCTGTTTGCAGGGATGGGGGGTGGGGTAGAGAGAGAAGTGAGCATCTGCTTAACATCTCCTTCTAAACAGCCCAGACAAAATACAGAGCTTGCTGACTATCAAATCACAGACAGAAATGTAGCCCCTTCCATTTCCTCACACAAATTACACAGCAGAGGAATCAGAGCCAGACTAAGCTGAGTGAGAGCTTCCCCGGTTGTTGTGTGAAAGGTCAGTTCGGCAGGGAGAGCACCTAACGGGTAAGAGTGGAAGTTTGAAGAAACGTTTTCAGGTAAAGTGTCTTTGGAATATGGATTGCTTTGCCACAAGAGGCCATCGAGGCTGCAACCACAGCATTTGAAAGGGTATTAGATAAACGGGGAACAATATAAAAAGTTACGAGAAACGAGCAGGGAGTTGGGATTGGAGTAGTGTAGCACACTGCAGTGCAAATTTTCGCCCAGCCTCAGCTGCACATGCCAAACAGCCTCCTGCCGTGCTGTCATTTCTAAGACTCTGTAAACACAGCCACTGTAGAGATTTACAATAAAAACGATGACCCTTCAATTTGATATAATAATAGTGCCTAATTCACATCACTGAGATGTCTCAAAGCGCTTCACAGAATATACTGAAAAGCAAATTGTATTTGGTGGGCGAAACACGGCAGCCAATTGCGCACAGCAGTGTCCTACAGACACTCGGACTGAGTGACCAATTTTTATTTGAAAGGATTATTACTCCTGGAAAGCGATCCGCCAATCGACTAACAACCAGGTTCCTCCTTACTAGTACGGAAACTTGGTAATCAGGCGTGTGAAGCAAGAAAAGCTGAGTAAGGTTTTGCCCTGCCCGGGAATCAAACCCGGGTCCTCACTTTAGACAAGCTCGCTAACCACTACGCCAAGGGACTCCAAATACACAATGGAGCTAGGCTTGAGTGCAAGGGTACAATGAAACGTTTCTTTAAAAATATTTTTGAATTGAAAGGGGAACTCGAGAGGGAACAAACTTGGTTACCCTCTCCCTTGGCTGCTCCCGATTCCCAGAGAGGCAGAGACGGGCTGTTTTATAGCAAGATGTCTTAAGTGTTATGATGATAAACAAGGCAAGGACTTACTTTGTTTTGAAGAAGTAGTAGTAGAAGGAGTACATGTAAACGTAGACTGCAGTGGAAGCCGCAGATAGAAAGCTGGTCCATTGCCTGTAACAGCATCAAAAGGATTTTAGATATAAAAAAACCCAAGAATTGTGGTCAACAGGCTTCCAGCTCACACATAAACAGACCGGATTCCACGCACAATACTTTCTGAAGGAGTACACTGGATTATGGTAGTCCATTTGAGATCAGGATAGAGTCACAGCTGTATTAAGTAGCTTTTTATTTGACAGTGAAAGCTTGCACTGAATTCTGGTGCCTATGCTCGTCTGGGGCTTAGAAACACAGCTTTGTATGTGGGCTTTTCTTCTGGCTCAAAAGCCTTATCTCCTAATTCACAGAGCAAACTCATACCCAAAGGTCTGACCCCGCTATGTATGAGCTTCTTTATTGCCCTCGGCTGAGCTACTGTCTCAGGGAAAGGGGTGAATGGTTCAAGGCTTGTGACTGGGGCTCACTGAGAGAGCTGCACAAATTCAACAAGTGCTGAGGTTTGATGATCACACTGAGCTTTTGCTTTGAATAAAATCCTACAGTAACGCCAGCCATTCTGTTCTGCCTGTTACAAAGCTCTGAAATAATATGCTGTCTGTCGTTCTATAATAATAATAATCCTTACATTATGTCATTTGAGACATCCTCAAAGCGCTTCACAAAATATATTGTAAAATGGATTGACTGTGTCCATTTGGGGTTTTACACCTTGTGATTCATAGAATTACAGAATCTTACAGTATAGAAGGAGGCCATTCGGTCCATTGTGCCTGTACCGGTTCTTTGAAAGAGCTATCAAATAGTCCCTCTAATCTGCTCTTATCCCATAGCCCTGCAAAACGTTCCTATTTAAGTACCTATCCAATTCCCTTTTGAAAGTTACTGTTGAATCTACTTCCACCACCCTTTCAGGCAGATTGTAACAACTCTCTGGGTAAAAAAAAATTCTCCTCGTTCCCAATTCCACGAGCCTGTTTTGGTACGGTCTGATAGCTGAACGCTGTCCTCAGCACATAGTTGTTATAAGGCTTTGAGGAGCAGTCTATAGCACATGTTGTGCTTTGCATCTGACTAAATTGTTTTTTAAGTTCCCTCCCTGCTTTGAAGCTTAATGGACCGTAGACCAAGAAACTCCATGCAGCTCGGCACATCGCTGAGCTGCAGACGAGTAGTCTCCTCACAGGAGGTGGGGGATGTGATTCCATCCCCAGATTCCAGGATGCACCTCACTGCCCACAGCGTCTGTCTCACACAGAGTCCACATCATTCAGTGGTAGGATTCTCCCAACTTACTGCACTTGTTTTGTTTGCTCTGTAGGTGCTTGCAAACTCTCTCTAGCTTTTAAATGCCTGCATTGAACAGCCCCCTTGCTGAGTAAACATCACATTCTTGTGGCTACAGTAAGTTGAACCCTAATCCTAATAATCCTTCTATTTGTTATAGCATGTTTCACAATGTTGAGATGTCTCAAAGGATACATCTTCACAGGATAGATTGTAAAGTGACAGTGTATTTTGTGAGCGAAACCCGGCAGCCTATTTGATGCAGCAATGTCCCACAAACAGCCATGGAGTGAGTGACCAAATTTATTTTGAGGGATTGTTGGCCAAACTCCCATCGCTTTTTGAATAAGTGTACGGGATCTTTAAAGTCTACTTGAACAGATAGCCGGGACCCTGGTTTAACGTCTCATTGAAAAACGACGCTTCCAACAATGCAACGCCCTCCAGCACCACAAAGGAGTGTCATCTGAGACTATGTGATTCCAAGTCCCAACATGACGCTTGAACCCACAACCTTCCGACAGAGGTGAGAGTCCAATCACTGAGCCAGGCTCACCCTTATTGTTCACTCCAATCACAGGACACACTGATAAACAACCATGAGTCAAACCAAAGAGGCTTTTGTGACACTCACCACCTGTAGTCCTCAGCATTCAGCAGGAAGTACGTGCAGACAATCGTCACACAGACAGTCACGATGCAGAGGATGACCAAGACGAGCATCATGAATCCGTACACATAGTAAATCTTGTACGCCCAGAACGATGTGAAGATAAAGTACCTGATGTTTAATGGGGGCAAAATAAACGCAACACTGAGAAAAAGCACATTGCATTCAACTTCACACAATCCTCCACCGGGCCACATCTGGAGGTCACACTGCAATCTTTCTACCATGAGATTATTGCACGTCTCCAATAATAATACTACTGTTACTACTACTACTACGTAAAAATCCTGGCATTTGATATAGTGTCTTATCATGTCGTAGTGACATCATAAAAATATACTTTAAAGTGAATTGACTGAATGTTTTGTGGGCCAATTGCGCACGTTACGGAAGATCCTCGCACTGAACATGGCAACAGATCATTATCTGCCATGAAAATGATGGCGCTCACACACACTGATCCTCTGGACGTCTAAATACAGTTAAACACTAGCACTGAATACAATTAAGTACTTCTAAATACAATTATCATCATTCTTCCGCATTTCAGTTGTTGAGCAGTGTACTGTGTAAAAAAAANCACATAGGGTAACATGACTTTGTGGACACCCTGTAGAATAGTTCAGATAGAGTTCGGCGAGGAAGGCATTTTGAACAGAAAGCTCTCCACTGAACGGCTTTTAAGTCACAAATTGCATAATTGCAAACGAATGCTTGATCTTTTTCTCGCCTCAGTGCTGAGTGAGAAGTGAAGCGGCCCTTTTTAACGCCAAAAGGTACTTACATCTCAATAAAAATAGAGCCAAAAGGCAAGATTCCTCCCAGGCATACAATGACAGCTGGCTCCATGAACCTGTAAAACAAGATCAAAATAGCAGCCATCTGTTTGCCACCAAAGGAGAACAGACTCCAACTCAGGGAGGACCACATCTGGCAGCGTCCCATCACCAGGTCGAAACTTTGCAATCCTGCTCAACCATCTCTGCTCTTTCCTCCTCTGCCCCCCCCCCTCTCTCTCTCTCTCTCTCTCTCCCACTGAGCAAAACAGAAACTGTAATATTTCCCTCTGACATTGTTCTGACCTACTCTTTCCTAAAGGCTTTCGATTTATAATAATCCTTGCATTTTGTACAGTGCCTTATCATGTCATTGATACATCTCAAATCTATTCATAGAATATATTATGAAGTGAACTGACTGTATATTTTGAGGGTAAAACACGGCAGCCAATTGTGCACAGCAGTGTCCCACAAACAGTCGTGGCTTCAGCAACCAGATTTGTTTTTGAGGGGTTTATTACATTAGTTTGCAACCTGCGTTGATATAAACTCAATAGTCCAGACAGCACTGCATAACCTGACCCCAGCATACACAGTGCCAACACAGTATAACTGGCTGACACCAGACCTGCTTAAAGCAGCCTTTTCTGCCTGGTGGGGATTTCTACTGTTGCTGGTGACAACAAACTATGTTCTTCTCAACTCGCCTTCAACGTTTGCCTACAAAATCAGTCACTACACTTGTCATCAACAACAAAGGAAGCCTTGCATTTATTTGATAATGTGCACACTGAAGATTGTCACTAAGCACTGCACAGGCAACTGCTGCAAAGCGTAGGAAATAATTGCTGTGAAGTACATTTTCTATATGTAAATCACTATAAAGGTGTGAGTACTTTCTTCCTCCTCCCTCTCAAACCTGAATCCTTTTTTGTGTTCAGCTGGGTGTCTGACACTTGCAGAAACCAATCAATGTGCTTAAAAGTATCCAATCCAGAGAAGAGCTCAGCTTAATCATGTACGTCACCTACAAATAGAAATTTTCCTATGTCTGGAATGAAATGTGCACTCTCTCCCTGGAGGGACACACCCTACCTACATAGTCCTGAGAGTATTAGGCACAGGCTGGCAAGAGCGTGCATTGGCAGATAAACCGTGCGTCACCAACCACCTTACTCATCTCCGCATCTCATTCCCTTTCTCATCTCCGCATCTCATTCCCTTTCTGGTATCGATGGTGCCCTGTATTACGGGCCTTGGTCTTTCTTCTATTTCTCCAAAAAAGAAAAATGCTAAAGCCAATGGCTTATTCTTTTATTGGAACCTTTGGATGAAAAAAGACCAAGGTCCATCTAGTTCGCCTTCTACCATCCAGTTAATCACATGCTACAATAATGGAGACATTGATAGTAATTAATTCTGTATGGATTAGTCTACAACAGAGTTGCCTGGTTTTTCCCAAAGCATACTACACTTACTATATGTTATGTCTCAAATTACTCGTGTGCTGTGTCCCAAAATATTATTTTCTAAAAGAAATTTATCTAATTTGTATTTGAATGAATCAACTCTTTCAGCTTCCACGGTCTCCCTAGGGAAGCAGAAAGGATTATGAAAGATGAAGAAATATGCCTGGGCTATCTTGGCTACTCACCATTTCTTCTCTGGGATCGGACGGGGCACTGCATTGACACGACATGGGAAGTTGGGCTGGCCTGACAGGTTTCTGCCCAGAATGGTCCCCACCAGGTTCAGGGGCAGGATGACAAAGAAACAGATACAGCAGACAGCGACCTATGAGACAAGGAAAAGGTTTAAAGATCTGGGAAAGTTGAAATATTTTGGTTAATATCTTTCAGTGACAATGTAGCAGGTTTTAGTGGGTCAGCTTGGCTGAGCGGTAGCACTCTCGCCTCTGAAAAAGCTGACAGTCGGTTTAGAGCACTGAGCAGTGGAGCAATTGTTTAAGAGTCGATAAGGACATCTCATCCATCTCCTAACAGACAGATCACTTGGAAACAGGTGATCAGTGTCACTGCAGAATATTCAGTGAGGAGACCCCGGCTATTGTCAGCAGAACATGGTCTCAACGGCAAACCACACATCTGCCTCACTCACACCAACTACGCACCTGCCTCTGACATGACAATCTTGTCCGAGAGTCATGCTGGGTTAGTAGTGTGCTGGTAACTAATCTGCACTGGAAAACACTCAGATAAAGAAAGGCCATGGGTAGGCAATTACAGTACCTTATCACGTCAAGGTGTCTCAAGAGTTTTATAGTAATCAAGTGAAGCGATTGTTTTTGAAGGCAAACCAGCAGCAACCTGCACACAGCGAGATCCCACAGAAATCCACAAAGTGTTTCATCTGATGGCGTGGCTGGTCTGAGTGAGGTAATAATAATCCTTTGTATTTGGTGTAGCGCTTTATCACGCTGTTCAGACATCTCAGAATATACTGTCAAGTGAATTGACTGTATTTTGTGGGCAAAACGCGGCAGCCAATTGCGCACAGCAATGTTTCCCCCAACATCCTCAATACTGCACTGGAGCTTAGATTGTGAGCTCAAATCCAAATGTGGTGTGTGAGGTTTCGTCTCTGCACTGGAGCAGTTCCTGATCAGATCAGGCAGGGCAAAACCTTATGCAAGTTTCTTGCTCCACACACCTCTGTTTACCTAGCAGTAAGTAGGAACTTGATGTTAAGTCAATTGGTGGATCATCAATTTGTCACTCAATCCATGACTGTTTGTGGGACACTGCTGTGCGCAATTGGCTGCCGCGTTTCACCTACAAAACACAGTGAATTCACCTTACAATATACTCTGTGAAGAGATTTGAGACCTCTCAACGATGTGATGAGGTACTATATCAAATGCAAGGTTTATTACTATTATCTGCCACTTCAAATTCAGTTTGATACCAGTACTGTACAGCAGATGACTGAGCAATCTCAATCCTCGTAGCAAAGAAATCCTTTGAGAGGAACCCAGTTAATGAGGGTCACACGCCAGGGTTGACTGTCAGATGCCAATTGCCCTTCTGTGCATTCCCAGAGTTTAAAGTTTCTTTCATCTCTCTCTCGCACTCTCTGCCACCACACTGTGCACCTCACCAATCTCACAAGAGGCACGAGGGAAAACAGAGGAAATTGTTTGTCATTAATCCAAATGCAGGATATGTCAACTTGTGCAGATAAGGCAGAACTCCCACCGAGGAGCTGAGGCACTGGAGGCAAAATCACTTCCTTTTATGGTCACAGGAGTTGAGTTCTTGCTTATCAGACACTTGAATCAACTCCTCTCAAGTGTGAGGATCTTAAGATATCCAACTTAACAGTAAACCCATCGTCTTAGATATGAGCAGTAACAACAACAACAAATTACATTTACACAGCGTTTTTCAAATCAGGAGGATGTGCCAAGGTGCTGGACAATCATGTATTTGCACCCGAGCTAGAGGCTGAGATCAGAAGTGTAGGGGTGGTGATCGACGGTGTGGTCGAAGAGGAGGGTCTTGAAATGTGCCTTAAAGCGCTCCCGGACGCTAACCCGTGTGAAGGGCGCTATATAAATGCAAGTAGTTGTTGAAGGAGGCAAGAGGGGGACAAGGCGAAGGGACTGTGGGATGGAGTCCAAAGGGTGGGGGCAGAAAGGCTGAAGGCCCGACCACCAATGATAGGGTGGGCAGGATGGGGGATGGAGCGAGAGTGATTGGATCATGGAACCCGGTGTGGGGGAGGACCCAAGCTGCAGAGTTCTGAATGATCTGCAACTTGTGGAGGGAAGAGAAAACCCATGAGCAGACAACAATGTGCACAGGACAGACCTGCCTCCACATCAAAATAACTCAGCCACTGTGGCCCACTGAATAATAATAATAAATAATCCTTGCATTTGATATAGCGCTTTTGACATCTGCTAGACGTCTCAAAGCGCTTCACAGAAGATTGTAAAGTGAATTGACCGTATATTTGTGGGCAAAACGCGGCAGCCAATTGCGCACAGCAGTGTCCCACAAACGGGATAAATAAATTTGAATCCGAATTTCCAGACATTTTAAAAGATGAGTTTTAATAAGTTTCATTCTGAAAGATTCATTATTCCAAACTCATATCCTTTCATTATGGACGAATCCATCCTGTGGAGCCAGCTGGGCCTGACAAGACTTTCCTCCTGGGACCATTTTCACTGCTCCCAACAGACTCATTCAGTGGAAATAAGAATATTTATAGGTGAAATATCCTTTAAAGGTTCACAGTCGTGCTCCTTTCACAAACGTTCAAAATTAAAATTTGAGACCTTTCCTGACGATTTCCCACAGGGTTCATTGAAGGAAATATGACATGGTGAAGCTCCACTGAACAACTCCAACAATTTTAACAATACAAGTTGAATAGGCAGATGGGGTTCATAAATAAGGCTATTGAGTATAGAGTACTGAGGGGCAGAGATTTTAGCAGAGTCCCAGAGAGCTCAGCCATAAGATATTATATATGTGTATATATATATATGATACTCCGTGAATTTGATATAGCACCTTATCACATTGTTCAGACATCTCAAAGCACTTCACAGAATATATTGTAAAATGGATTGTCTGCGTATTTTGTGGGTGAAGCTTCACAGCCAGTTGAACATAGTGGATTAAGTGACCAAATTATAATTATTATTACTTTAATTTTTTTGGAGGGATTATTACCCCTGGACAGTGATCCGCCAATCGACCAACAACCGGATTTGTACTTACTGCTAGGTAAGCAGAGGCATGTGGAGTAAGGAAACTTGCCTAAGGTTTCGCCCTGACTGGGAACTGAACCTAAGTCCTCTAGCTTGCGAGATGAGTGCCTACGCTACACTATGCTACGGGACTCCACATAGAAAGGATCGAGCAATAGTCGGTATTTGTATTTGATACAGAGCTTTATCACATCATTAAAACGCCTCAAAGAGATTCATTTATTGTCAAGTGCAGCAACTGTGCATCCTGTAGGCGAGTGGTAGAGCAAGAACAGCAGAACAGGGTTGGAAGAGATTGCAAAAAAACACAAGGAGGGGAAAGATGGGGGGAGGGGGCGGGCAACGTCACGATGAGTGTCTTTACTAGACATTGCTGGTAACAGGCTTCTGAACACACGCACGCACTAACCCGTCTCTTTCTGATATACATGTGCAGCTGATTGAAATGTTTCCTCCCAATAAAATGACATGACTTTGCGTGCGCCTCGCTGGACTTCACAGGGAACATTTGAAACCCTGTATAGCTGCAGCAGGCATGTTGTGGTATTCACATCCCGAGAATATTTGGCTATTAGAATCAAGTACAGATTCGCAAAGAGACAATTCTCGAGTTTCAACGTGTACTTTCCACAAGGTTACAACTGGAACGAAAATACTGAACTGCTTGTTCCCTTTCCACAAGGACACATTTATGGAGGTTCTTCGCAAAACACAGTCACTGCACTTTATACAAATGCACAAGGTTACTACAATTTACACACATACACAGACGAGACACTTTACAGTATATTCTGTGAAGCGCTTTAAGACGTGATAAAGTGCTATATCAAATGCAAGGATTATTATCATCATAAAGTATGTGTGTGTATGTGCCTGTGTTTTAAGGTTGCACGTGCTCATCATCATTTATCTCTCTTCCCCCCTTCACCACTCTCACAACCACTGCATAAAACACAATCTTTGGCTCTTGAGAACAGAGTCAAGTTGAGAAAATAAATTGGAAAAATTATTTTTACTAACTGGTGGCTGTACTAGACTGTTGAGTCTTGAGAAAGTCACTCCAACTTTGTGGAAAGGTTTACAGTAATAACTATTCACATTGCCACAATACTTTTAATTTTTTTTAGAAAGGGTCAAGACTCTTCAAGGAATATTCTGGACTAGAAATGAAAGCGAACATTATTATGAAGACAAACCGGCAGCTAATCGGGTGTCAGAAACAATGTGATGAGTCGCCTATGACTTTGAATTTAATGAAGAGTATAAATCAGACGAACAACTCCACCGTTTGCCTCCAAAATAGTCACGACGCTTCACAGCAAATCCTGAGACAGCCTCCCTACGTAAAAAGGCACCTTAACAAACAGCAAAGGGATTATTCATTTGGTTGAAATAGCAATTTGAAATCGCCAGTGAGATGGAACCTAAATTAATAATAATCCTTGTATTTGATACAAGTAGTGAGTCAAAAAGCACCTCCAACATCAAAACGCCTCAAAGCGATTTGAGCAAAATTTTTATACCGACCCAGGTGCTTTAACAAACTTGAATTACTGCTTTCTTGTCTGTTAATAACTGAAGTCAGAAACTCTCAGACTATCAAAAAGAGAGACTTGCAACAAGTTCGAGCTGGTCAGGCTGTGCTGAGGTTCATAAACCTACATAACTGGAAGCTGAAAGTCCTCCACATCACTTCTAAGCAACAAATGTAGTGATGTTGGAGTCGGATTGTCAGCCCCACTAATGAAAACCCTAAATGTTAAAAACATTATAATCTCAAGCAACTCACTTGGCAATGCATTAAAGCTTTATCTAAAGTAAGAATCCAGTGGCCTTTGCCAGTTCTGCAGTTAGTAACAATCTTGGCTGAACTAGATACAATTTTTTGGGGTCATCTGGGTGTCTGACACATGCAGAAACCCATTACCATGCTGAAGAGTATCCAAACCAAGCTGAGAATTCCATACATCCCACGACACACGGAAATTCCAGAGAAAGATTTTTGGAATGCAATGCACACTCGCTCCCTGGAGGGCCACATCCTACTTACCTAATTCCAGAAAGTATTAGACGCAGGTTGGTAAGAGGCAAGGCTTTGGGACTCCAGAGTGTGCATTGGGGTAATTGCTAAGCGTCTAACCAGCTAAAACCACATAGCACTGTCTGGCAAGCTTTCCCACTGCTTGTCCAGCTAGAATCACCCTACCTGTTCAGGATTTGGCTTGCATGGTTAACAGGAGCTGAGTGGGATGATTCCCTACCCCCAGTGACTGGTCGATGAGTTAGGCTGGGCTGTGCTGTCACCAGCAGTGCCCTGGAATACTGGGGACCTGCCCTGCTCAGGAACCCGACTACCGAGACTGCGCCTTGAGACGTCCTCCCGACGTGAAAGGCACTATACAAATGTGATTTTGTTGTTGCCAAAGAGGCCTGGCTTGATTCTGACATTCCATTGTCAAACATGTCACCTTGGAGCCAGTTCAGCTCCAAGGAGACCCTGCTTTCTGCCTCCCTAAGAAGGATAGTTTGAATAGCTGCAGCAACACGCTATCTATCCTGCGTGAAGGGTGCTATATAAATGCCCGAATTAGCTACAACAACAAGCCCTTCACAAAGGACAACGTCTTGGAGCTGCAGTGACAGGATGTGACGACGCCAATTAAGGAGGAAGGGGAAATTGACCATAGGCCATAGAAGAGAGATAATTCTTAAGGTGGGATTTAAAGATAGACAAAGAGTGCCAAGGTGGGATTGAGGCAGAGAACTGATGGGAGTTCCAGTGTGGACATGGTGAGAAAGACTAAGTTGGGAGGAACCAAGTCCGTCAACTCTGGGAGAAACAAAAGAGGAAGAAGTCACCGCAGTACAGTGGAAATGCCAAGTGTCTACACACCGACAGATAAGCTGCATATCCACTACTCTGAAAGCACAATGACATCAGATATTTTTTTAAAACGTGGCACACATGCATACAAGAGAAAGAGGTAGAGCCCCAGAGAGAGAGGGAGAGAGAGAGAAAGAGAGAGAGAAAGGAGGAGAGCCAGAGAGAGAAAGAGAAAATGATTGAGTGAGAGAGAGAGAAAGAGAGAGAAGGGCAGGAGAGATAGTCATATACTGGCAGTATAATTGCTGATCTAAAAAAAAATTTGGTTAGCACTGCAGCTAACAATATTGTTAATTGGCGAGGCTATCAGCTCCTCAACTGCATTGAAAAAAATGAAGCAAATGGCGGCCAGAGAGGAGAGATGAATCGACAGATAGGCAAGCTGCTTGATCCCTGTATCCTGTCCAGGAGCACGAGGAAGGAGCTGGACAAGGTTCCCAGCACATGCGAGCAGTGTTCAGGTCTCGGATGGACTGGGCGATAGAGAAAGAAATATTGAGAGAGAAAAGGTTCGTCTGAAGGAAGAAACTAAGCTGTTTGGAGACTGCTCTATAGATGGAGTTGTGAGAATTTCATTTGAGATTTGAAGAGATAGTGAGGCCAGGATGTTGACTGATGGAAGGATTAAGAGAGGAGACGTATGCGAGACAAAGAAACTGAAGAATGGAAAGAAAACAAGATTATTGTAAATTAGCCAACACAGTGTCGGGTCCTACTGTTGGAAAGTATACAAGCGGGTGGTGATTTCCACATCACAAGCTTGTTGAAGAAAATGACTGAGAATTAATTCTGCAACTTATTCAACAACATTTACAGAGCACCGTTCATGTAGGGAGGACATCCCAAGGTGTTGGGACAGTCAGGGATCTGGACTCGAGCTGGGGGTTGGGATCAGGAGGGGTGGAGGGCAGGGAGAGTAGGGGCAGGAGAGGGCTCGGTCAAAGAGGAAGGTCGGTCAAAGAGGAAGGTCGGTCAAAGAGGAAGGTCTTGAGGTGGCACTTGAAGGAAGCAAGGGACAAGGTGAGATGAAGGAACTGAGGGATGGATTTCCAAAAGTGGGGGCAGAAAAGCTGAAGGCCTGACCGCTGATTGTGGGGGAAGGAGAGAGAGGCGGGGGACATGGAGTAGGCCAGAGCTTACTGAGCAGAGTGAGGGAGTTGACACGTAAGTATGGAGTTAATAAGTCAGAGGTAGGGAGGAGCAAGGCCGTGGAGGGCTTTGAAAGCGAGGGCAAGGATTTTGAACTCTTATGACCTGGGGGATGGGGAGTCAGTGGAGCCGGGGGAGAATGGGGGTGATAGTTCAGAGCCTGGTGTGGGAAAGGACATTAGCTTGCAAAGTTCTGAATAATCAGCAGCTTGTGGAGGGGAAGCTTGCGGAATTACTATGGCATTTAATAACGTTCTGAATGATCTCAAAAAAATGCCATCATCAATTGTGAGCTGCCTTGGGGAGCAGCTGACTGCCAGAATTCTGCGGAGGATCAGCTTAACACAGCAGGCTTTCTGTAATACCAGCTTCATTGCCTTCACCACAAACAAGTCCACAACGTGCTGCTATTCACAGGATTCATCATTGCCAGTGTGGTGGTGGCAGATTAATCAAAAGCACGGAATTTGGGCTCCGCTCGTGCACAGCCAATGGACTCAAGCAAACGGACGGGCTGTTAAGAAGCATGAAAATTCCTGGCGAATAATGTAAGCGGAGATGCCATGCCAACCATGCAAAATAATATGAGGAAGCATGGGTTGTTTCGTTCATTCCTTCTCCACTGTCAGCAATTAGCTTTAATACCATTCTATGCAAAATGTTTAAGGCACAGCAGTGAGCCCAATCTATGCTAACCGGCCCCATTGTAGCTATAAAAATAGTGCAGATATCAGTGTGCGTGTGTACGACTTTTATCTTTCTCTCCAACTGTGTGTGTGTGTGTCTCTCTCTCTCTAGCTGCGTGGGTGCCACACTCCCTCTTTCTCTAACTGTGAGTTCATGTTTGCGTGCATCTCTGTCTCTCCTCCCATATTACCGGGCGTCTCAGTCTCTAACCTGTGTGTGTGTCTGCCTTTTTTTCCTCCAACTGTGCGTCTATAGCTGTATGTCTTTCTATCTTACAATGTGTGTACATTCGTCTCTCCCTAACTGTGTATTTCTACTTTCTCTCCAACTCTGTGTGCATCGTGTTTATTGTGTGCATGTGTGTAAGCATCTATCTCTCTCTCATCAAGTGTGCCAGTCTCTCTCAAACTAAATGCTTGTGTCTCTTTCTCTCCAACTCTGTTCTTTGTCTCTAGCTGTGTGTGTGTTTTTCCCCTCTCATCTTACCATGTGTCTCTCCATCTCTCTCCAACTCTGTGTCTTTCTCTCTGTGTGCGTCTCTGTCTCTCTCTCTCTGGGTCCCCGTTTTGTGCGTATAAGTGTCTGTCCCTGCGTGCGTGTCTCTCTCACTGTGTGTATCTGTTTCTGCACCCGTGTCTCTTGTTCTGTATCTCAGGTTTCCAAGACAATACCCAGTGAGATGGGCGCTACATAAAAGCAAGTGGTTATTGTAGTACTTACCTGATCCAACCTCCAACTCGCATTGCTGTTTCAAAGTTGAATAAAACCCAGTAACTGATAATCTGGTGAGTAATTTTTGCCAACACTGCAAACCCACTTCACTTCCAGATATACAGATAGTCAGCAAAATTTTACCAGCAAAATCCAGTGTTAGAAAATCAATAAATTCTCAATATTATCACACTGCCTTGCCACTCGCACGGGAGAACAAGGCCAGACCTCAGAAGTACGATCATTTTACCATTTTGTTTCAATAGCACCTTATCACAACAAAACGTCTACAAGCACTTCACAGGTAATCATGGTCAAGCATGGTTTCAGTTTCTATACGAAAATGGGGAAGGCTTTTGTGCAAGCTAAAGTCACTTTTTGTAAAATCCCAAAAAGGCAAAAAGAAACAAATGTGAGGTGAATGACCAATTTATCTGGAGGATTATTGGTGAGTCCCGTTTTACATGGAATGAGATTTTTGTCGCCCACCTGAACAGGCAGATGTGACATCTGACGCAAAAGTCTACACCTCGACAGTGCGCTACTCCCCCAGCACTGTGCTGGGGTGTGAGCCTCGATACACATCAGTAATTCTCCTGCAAGCACAGCACAAAGGCATTTACTTACCATGGTCCCAAAAGGAATGGCCCGCGATGCGTGGTAATAGATGGCAATGAAGTTGATGAAAAACGCCGTGCCACAAACCATGGCAGGGATCAGGAACGCACCCATAAACATCTGCTTTATCCATCTCCTGCCTGTTTCACACAGAAAAAGGCAAAAGGTTAGAAGCTCCCAATTTCAGATCACAGGAGTTTAAATAAATACTGTACTGTCACAGTATTTGTAATACCAAGCTGTAGCACCAACATGAAACGGGCAGAAAAAGGCAGTTTTGAACCGGTCGGATGTGTAAGTGAAATCGTAAAACACTGAAACTTGTACCTTTTTCCCACAAATATACGGTCAATTCACTTTACAGCATATTCTGTGAAGTGCTTTAAAACTTCTAGAAGACGTGAAAAGCACTATATCAAACGCAAGGATTATTATTATTATTATTGCTGCTTCACTGATCAGTAGAAACAGGGTTACATGCCAGCATTTGGAATCAGAGCTGAGAACCTCTGGCAACATGTGACTACATTTAAGAGACTGAAGCACTTTCAATTGTGTCGCAGGCACTAACAATGCAGCTCGGAGACAGATGCCTCCTAAAACCTAAAATATCACCCTGGACGCAAATGAGAGACTCGCCTTTGACCGTAATGTAGCCGTCAGCAATTGTGCATCTAACGCAACGATTTTTGTTTCTGTGTGGTTACCTCAGGAAATGTATCAGACAGAACTCAGAGACAAACATTAAATCACTTCACCACAAATTAAGTTATTTCACAAAATCTTATCTTTGGAAGAAAGACATGTGAAGAAATTGCTGAAAGGTTCTGAGGGTGTATACTTGCACTCAGGCGAGACTGAGATAGGATCCATATTAGCTTTCAAGAGGGAATAGATGGATATCTAAAAAGGAGTCATTTGCAGGCAGGTAAGTGGGACGGGATGGATTGCGCAGTCTGAACACCCCAGACCACGATGGACCGAATTGTTTTCTGTGCTGTGAGTGTCTGTGTGAAAGGCCACGCAATGTGACCTATTCTGATGACACACTGCAATTTACAACTGGCTGGGGGGAAGTAAGGCACTGCAACAGTCATTAACTATTATAGACTTACACAGGAATGTGCATGCCAACGAAAGACTATTGTGGTCAGCAAGCTAGCCCCAAAGATTCAACATTACTAGAATGTACTCTCTTTACCCCCAAACAACAGGTTGCATTTATATAGTGACCTTCACGAAGGGCAGAGCCTCCGAGCACTTAACAGTGGTGGAGGCTGATGCCGAGCCAATGTGGGGAGGTGAACGTAAGCATGAGCAAAGAGGAAGGTCTTGAGTCATGATCTAAAAGAGGGGAAGGAGGGGGCAAGATAGAGGGATTCAGGGAGAGTTCCAAAGCTTCAGAGTATTGTCGCTGAAAGCATGGCAGTGGAAATACTTAACAACCTTGTAAAATATAGAACCACTGCTCACCTACAATGACAGATTACATTTGTAAAGTGCCTTTCACGTCGGAAAGACATCCCAAACCTACAAACTATTCCACTCTTACTCCACAGAATAAAGCTCAACTGGGCACCAGAGTATGAAACTGACCCAGGCAAACAAATCAGTTTGTGCGTAACACAGGTAAGAGAATTGCAGGATTTGAAAGCCAGCCAAAACGTTAAGGCACATATAATTTTTAAAAATGACACGTCAGTTCAACCAGAAAGCTCGGTCCTATATCATCCAGCAGGAATCAGCTTCTGTCCCAGTGGTGACTGATGATTGACTCTCCTCCGCAGCCAGACTGAGGAGCTCAGTGTCCATACTCGTTCTTACTCCGATATCTGACACTAGTGAAACTCCATTCTAATCTGCAGTAAAGGAGCCAGAGCGAGTTTAATACCACCAGTCAGGCAATAAATCACCATCACAAACTAAACCCCAGCCAAAAGTGCGCTTAGATTCCAATATATTATTGACAACAGAAAGACAGAGACCAGCCAGCGTGAATGGAGCTTGTGATGTGAAGTGGCGATTTTATCACGTTCTCCTGAGGTGAAAGGAGTTATACAAATGTAATTTGTTGTTGTTATCTGGAAGGATACTTTCACCCCTTCTTCCCCCCATCATCAAAAAACAGGTAACGACATCGGCTACTTTATGGTGTAGTGTACTGGTTAGAGCACTTGCCTTGCGAACGAGAGAACTCGGGTTCAATTCCCGGGCAGAACAAAACCTTAGGCAAGTTTCATTCCTCCACATGGCTGTTTACCTAGCAGTAAGCAGGAGCTCAATTGTTAGTCAATTGGCGGATTGCATTCTGGGGATAATAATCCCTCAAAAAAAGTCACCCGATCCACCATTGTTTATGGGACACTACTGTGAGCAATTGGCTGCCAAGTTTCACCCACAAAACACTGTCAGTTAATTCACTTTACAGTGCATCATGTGAAGTGTTTTGAGACAAATCAACAACGTGATAAGAGTCTATATGAAATGCAAGGAATATTATTATTTACGGGCAAGTCAGAGCCACCTCCACCTCCAATTAATCAGTTCAAGGCAGGTGGAGGCTGGGAGAAAAGATCTGTCTGCTGGGGTATAATTGAGGAATAGTTGGTAGTTGGGGGAGAAGGGAAGAGAGAAGATGAAACAAAAGCAACGAACCTTTAAACGTCACCCAGTGACGAACACAGTTTGGCCACTCAAATCTTAAACAACTTCAAACCAAGTGACGGCATTACACCATTCTGCCTTGCCAAATAATAATTGATTGACAAAGATAGAAAGCAGCGGTGAGGACCTTGCCATTGAAATTGCTGTATGGCAAGCTTTTCCGCTGCTCCAGGACCTCCAACTCAGGTACTAATACAGGACTCTCAAGTGCTTCGGGATGTCCTCCCAAAGTGTGGAGTCCTGTAGGAAAGTGGTTAGTGCGTTAGCTTCACAAGCGAGAGGACCTGGGTTCGATTTCCGGGTGGAGCAAAACCTTAGACAAGTTTCCTTACTCCACAGGCCTCCGTCTACCTAGCAGTAAGTAGGAACTCAGTTGTTAGTCAGTTGGCGGTTTGCTTTGTGTGGGTAGCAATCCCTTCAAAAAATTATAATATGGTCACTCAATCAACAACTGTTTGTGGGACACTGGTATGCGCAATTGGCTGCTGAGTTATGCCCACAAAATATACAGTCAATACACTTTACGGTATATTGTGTCAAGTGCTTTGACACGTCTCAATGTGATAAGGTGCTATATCAAATGCAAGTATTATTATTTATGGCACTGTAAAAATGTGAATGTTTATAGTGTTGAATGTTGGCCATTGCTACCCATTTTCTAAGAAGCTTTCTTTTATTAATCCCAGTTCTCAGGATATAACAGACAGCAGAGGTTAGCAACCATCAGAAGCCAAACCTCAGAAACCTCCCCTCCTCCCGTGCAACCCTCCCCCCACTTCTTAAAGAGAGCAACACACCATTGTGTTCTGTTAGCTAATCTCAAACAGATTTTGCTGTAACCTTCAGCTCTTAAATAAAACTGGGACCTTCTTCATATTCCAGTGTGTGTGTGTCTGAGGGAGAGAGGGAGAGAGGGGGTGGGGGAGCACTGAGCAGCTGGAAGGACTAGGTTCCACATCAGTAATAAAAATCTCTTATTACAGGAAGGATGATGTGGCATTGCAGTGTGCGCTCCTGCATTTGCTTAAAGAGATACGTCTGTCACTGAAAGAGAACAGCATTTCTGGTGCAATGTAATGGTACATACGGCACTGCCTTCTGAGTCACACTGTAGCGTTTAACACCAAAACATGCTCAGATATGCACAAAAAGACCCGAATACACCCCAAGAGCTAGAGACAGACACACACACGTGCACACCCCACGCAGAAGTACGTGCACTCGCACAGGTACACGCACACACTTACAGGCACAAATACACACAGGCACACACAAGCACGCATGTGCACAGGCACAGACACATGCACAAGCAAACAGAGAGAGAGACACACACACACAGAGGCAGAGACACACACGTAAGCTCAGAGAGAGAGAGCAAGAGAGAGAGACACACACACACACACACACACACACACACAAACAGACACACTTAGGCACAGCCAGAGACACACTCGCACACTTACAGGCAGAGAGAGACAGCGCGCGCGTATGCGCACACACACACACACACACAGCAAGAGAGAACACACCGTGAGAGAGAGAGAGAGACACAGTGAGAGTGAGAGAGGGAAAATGGGAGGCACACAAAGGGCAGTGATTTTGCAGGAAAAAGGGAAGCAATCTAACAGTGTCACACAAGTTTTTTCATGATCAGGCAAGACCTCGCTTTAACATGGAGAAAGACGGTGTCTTAGTCAATGCAGCTCTCCCCAGTATCAGCTCAGAGCGCCAGCTTAGACTGTGATGTAGAGTCCTGTTCAGACCCAGAGGCGACAGGGCTACTGACTGAACCAGGCTGCGGTCAGATACAGTGCATTCACTTGGCAACACGTGCAATCAGCGAGATACAACTCCAAAGCCAGATTGCTGGCCCCATCTCCCGACTGTGCCGTGATTCACAACCCTACAGCAGCCTCAAACCCTCCTCGCCCACAAGCTCGGGTTGTGTTGACAGGTGTCAGGATCTGGTTGACATTTGTGTAACATTAGCTACTTAAAAGTTAAGAGCTTCAGCTGTAAACTGGTTTCAGCGACTTAATGTGGAGACGTGAAACTGAACACCAGCATTGAGACAAGCCCATTCACACAAAAGCATTTTGCACACAATCAGTGGAGAACTTTATTGAATTCACTTCAAAACGTTTCAACTGTAAGGTTCTGTATTCCACGCCCTGGATATTTAGCAGTCTACTACAGTAGTTCTATAATCCCTGCATTTGATACAGCACCTTATCACATCATTGAGACTTCTCTACGGTGTATTTTGTGGGCAAAATGCAGCAGCCAATTGCGCATAGCAGTGTTCCAAAAACAGCTGTGTACTGAGTGACCAAATTATTATTATGTCTTTTTGGGGAGGGATTATTAGCCCCGGAAAGCGATCAGCCAATTGACTAATAACCGGGTTTCTATTTACTGGTAGGTAAACAGAGGCGGGTCTAGTTAGGAAACTTGCCTAAGGTTTTGCCCCGCAGGGAATCAAAACCCAGGTCCTCTCGCTTGCGTGGTGAGCGCGCTACCCGCCACACTAGAGCATGACATTGTAATGCAGCACAATGATTCTCAGGAGATGCCATACTGACCTCAGTGTTTTCACAAATACACAGTGGGAGTTGGGAGTCCATTAGTTTGGATATCAGGCTTCGTACTGCAATATTAAACAAGGACAGAAGGTTCTCTTCTGAAAAATTGCCTCTTACCAACCTGCAAGCCCTAAGTCAACCTCGGCATTAATACCGTGCCAACACAGAAATATACATTACAGAAAGAGCCCACTCCATCTTTCGGATAAGACTTTAAACACCCCTAGGCTCTGGACTCTGCTCTAACAGCAACCCAAGCAATCATTCCTTCAGACAACCTCCAGTGAAGATCTTCCCAACCTCTCCCTTTACTCCCCAATTCACAATCTTCAATTCATGTCCTCGAATCCCTGACCAGTGGAAAGAGTTACTCATAATTAATCCTCTCAAACCTCTTCATTATCTTAAACAATTCAATCATATCAGCCCTCAGCCTTCTCTGTTTCATCAGGAAAAGTCTTGACCTCTCTAGCCTCTCCTTATAGTGAGATCCTTTCATCTCCTGTATCATCCTTGTTGAACCTTCACTGCACCCTCTCCATCACTATAATTAATATTCTTTCTGTAAGAATTTTGCAGGAAGTTTATCATTCGATCTGTGTGGACCAATATCCATCTTTAGCACATTCCCTCCCCCCAACCCTTTCTAATCTTGAAACCTTGCAAGTTCAATATCAATATCAAAAACAGCAGGACTCAGCACGCAGTCAATGAGGAAACTATTCAAGCATCCACAATAAGAGGCAGATGTGGAAACAGGAACGGAGGCAGAACAGGGAGGAAAGAAGCAAGGGGCTCCAAAGATAAACGACATGGAATCAAGTTCAGAAGGTTCAGACGTGCCCGAGTCCCACAGTGAATGTTTCTGGCTCAGTTTGGATTTCTTAAAGCTAAGTCGGAAACTTTTGAGTTCAGAGCTCCCAATCCGTTTCGGGTGATAAGAGTGTTCATCCTTGCTTTTAACCGAACAATCCTTTGCTTTCACCACATGCAGATTGTAGGCTAAAAGCAAGGTATATAATAAAAATAATCCTTGCATTTGATATAGCGCTTTTCACATCTTCTAGACATCTCAAAGTGCTTCACAGAATAGACTGAAAAGTGAATTGACTGTATATTTGTGGGCAAAATGCGGCAGCCAGTTACTCACAGCAGTGTCCCACAAACAGTCGTGGATTGAAATGACCAATTTATTATTGTTTTTTTNCTTGAAGGATTATTATCAGGCGTGTGGAGTAAGGAAATTTGCCCAAGGTTTCACCCTGCCGGGAATCAAACCCAGGTCTCTCGCTTGCAAAGCAAGTGCTCTAACCACTGAGCTACAGGACTCCACAAACCGTATGTTACTGACCGGCAAGATTCCAATACCTTCTCTCTATGGGCAAGAAAGCCACAGTTTCACACCAAAAATTGGAGAGTTTAGGATTACATGGCTGACTAGAGGAGGTGAGGGAGGGAAAATTAAGGGTCGTTTCAAAAGGGACAGGTTTTTGAGAGCAAAAGGGATTGGCTGAGTGTAAATAAAGAGAGATCGGATTTAAAAATGGGACCAAACAAATGGCTATTTTTGGTCCTGAACATTCGTGTGTGTATTTGCCCTGCTGTATTCCAGCCTGTATCCTCTAAGCTTAAAACTGAGCTCCATGGCCCTTTCTCCATCCCATTGGCTCCATCAATGCAGCTTTGCTTTCAGTCCTATATAACTCTGGAAAGCAGTTTGCCTCAGAACCACTCTTCCTGCCTTCAAATAAAACCCAACAACCTGGCCGTGCCTTTCATCAACATATTTCAATCTCTTATTTCTCTGCTTGCTTCACAGACCACAGCAACAACTGAGATGCCCTTTAGCATGAAAAGCACTAGATAAACACAAGAGGGACATTGCTATGCGCAATTGGCTGCTTCGTTTCACCCACAATGTATAACAGTCAATTCACTTTATATGTATTTTGTAAAGTGCTTTGAGACGTCTCAATGACATGATAAGGCGCTCTATCAAATTCAAGGATTATTATTATTAAATTGGTGTTGAGGCTGCACAATTGAAGCAAAGATTGAGCCCCACAAAATCTACACATTTTATCAAACACCCATCCAAATCCTTTTTAAATGTTATGTTCTTGTAGTAAAGAAAATAATGATCCTTACATTTGATACAGTGTCTTCCACATCGGGAGCGTTTCACAAGATTCACTGTAAAGTGCAGTGACTGTGTTTTGTAGGTGAATTAAAGCATTCCACAATCACTTTACTCTCTGGGCCAAAGAGAATCTTCACAGCTCCCCTTTGAATTCCTCCAGTGACAACCCTCACTTCATTCCTGAATTTCCAGACAGCAGGAATAATTCACATCTAATCAATCAGACTGCATCCTTGTCTCACTCCCTTTCCAAACCCTCTATACTGGATTCTGCAGCCACCTGTGCAAGCAGTTTGTTCCACACTTCCATTGCCTTTTCACTAGACCGATTCTCCTGCGTTTTGCTATTCAATTGCCTAGTCTTGCTGGAACAAAAGCCACATGATGTTCTTGCTACTTGCTTGGGAAACATTCGAACGCTCTATTCCCTCCTGTTCTGGTCTCCGCATGGCTCTGCTTAGAAGCTGTCGTGTATGTCTGAACCCTTTTAAAATTCAACTCAGGCCCAGCACGACTAGTTAAGCGCACCATCATGTAGGAACCTACTATAGCCTGGCCCAAACCCTGGCCTTTCATTTACGGCAATGCGAGACAATTGGGAGCAGCTGGGAGACTTGTCGGGCAAATCAAACAAGACTTTACGAGGAGTTTTACTGCTATCAAAACCTCCACAGAAGGATCAGCCGCGACGGGCCTTAATTCAGGACATGAAAACCAGGTGGATCTCTCCACTGGGCTGACCCGCACGTCAGCCAGGTTAACCACACAAGTCTGCCGCGTGCAGCCACGGTTTAAAATTCTGGAGTTCTTTCTCTGGAGTAATCAATCACTGTCAGCCTGCGCTATTTCATTTAGAAAAAAAAAGCTCACAACTTGTTATCCCCGCTTCACATTTCAGTACAAAACATCACACAGCTGCCTGGAGCAGCGACCACAGCCCAGCCAGCCCCAGCTGGCTCTCTGCAGCGGCCACCACCTGTCAGCAAAACAGCAGCTTTGTGCCATCCACAAACCACACTCATATCCCTAGAGTTTCACCTGGGAGCCCAACGCCTGGGAGCCGAAATCTTGCTCGGTCCCCACGCTGCTCAACACCACCGGACTCACATCAACACTCAACATCAAGCTGCTGCCAGACTATTACGCAAGCGGAATCAGCCATCAATGCTGAGACAGACTCCAGTGTATAGGGTGTCCACAAAGTCCTGTTACCCACTGTTACAAAACAGGGATAGGAGACCACGGAGGAGCTGAAACAAGCTGTCAGGGATGCATTCGCCTCCTCAGTCCATCCATGTTACAGAAGATGTAGCACCGAACATGGAGACAGATCATTATTTGCCATGAAAATGATGCGCTCACTCACACCTATTCTCTGGACGTCTAAATACAGTTAAACACTTGCACTGAATATAATTAAGTACTTCTAAATACAATTATCATCATTGTTCCACATTTTCAGATGTTGGCCAGTGCACTGTAGAGAGAAATCATGGGGATAACTAGATTTTGTGGAGACCATGTAGTTTAAAAAATGTAACTGTTAACCAGATACTGGATAGCTGACAAGCATCTCACTGTTCTGCGAGATAGCTGTGCAGGACATTTCTTCCTGCGTAATTAATTTTAATCAGTTATGAAGGCATCGTTTGCATCGCATTGCAAAAGCTGAAGAACCCATTGTCACATAGCTAGCAGCCACCAAAGTCAGGCATGAAGTGTGTTTGAGTTGCAGAACAAGCCTCTCCCTTGTTGGTTGTACTGCAATGTATACGTGGACTCATACCAAACATCGGTTGAACGTGCGAGCAGTTTGGAGTTCCGTGTAGCACTGACCAAAACGGAAAACCCTGCCTGATTAATTTTGGACAATGAACTAATCTCTCTTAAGAGTTGTAAGACTGCGGACTCTCTCTCTGCCATCTTCAGCTTTTAATTTTGGGAGTATCTTCTAGATTCAACTGCAGGGCAATGCTTTTACATTACACTGTCGGACACGAGACGGGATTTGTAAATACCTCCTTGTCGGGCATACAGGCTCCCTCCGAAGTAGCCGTTCAGAGGCGATGTAGCAGCAAACACAAATATCGCCGTGCTCAGCATAGATCCCCTCCTGCGAGGAAAAGACAAATACAAGATCTTTTAACAACAATGCTGATACCTTGCACTTACACTTTGTGAAGTCCTGCATTGTATTGGTTAGAGCTCTTGTCTCACACGCAAGAGGACCTGGGTTCAATTCCCGAGCGGGGCAAAACAGAGGTGATTAGGAACCTGGTTGTTAGTCGATTGGCAGATTGCTTTTCCGGGGGTAATAATCTCTTCATAACTAAATAGTAATAATTCCCCCCAAATAATAATAATGCCACTCAATCCACGACTGTTTATAGGACACTGCTGTGCGCAACTAGCTGTTGAGTTTCACCCACAAAATATAGTCCATCCACTTTACGATATAATCTGTGAAGTGCTTTGCTACGTCTCAGCGAAGTGATAATACTACTGAAAGTAATCCTTGCATTTGATATAGCCCCTTATCAAGTCTAAAGCTCTGTATCAAATGCAAGTATTATTATTACATAACACCTTTCAAGAAGTCAAAGTCTCAAAATATTTTACAGACGGAGTGGGAACCCGAGTAAAGGGGGCAAGCAGGACGGGTAGGAGAGTTACCATAGAAATCTGGCCCACAGCAGGAGGCCATGTGGCCCATTGTATCGGTGTCAGTTTTGCTCCTTCAGTGAAGCCATCTGTCCTAATCCCAATTTCCTGCTCTTTTTCCCAGTACCCGCTAATTCCCTCCCTCCGCATGTGTGTATCTAATTCCCTTTTAAAGCCCTGATTGAAGGCACGCTAAACCTCCACGCTCTTCAATGAAACACCTCGAAAAGGCTTTTTGATCGTAATGAGGATTATGTGAAACCTGGAATACCAAATAAGGTTTTTAAACCTTGTTACAAACATCAGTGCTTAATGGATCTTCAACACACATTGGCTAATGTTTAAACACATCGAACGTTTTGACTTTGATCAACGCAGCAAACAGTCAGCAGAGACAGTTTCCACATCCCCCAACACACACACACACACACACACATTCACCAACACCAAATGGCTAAAAACTAAAAGAATCTCCCCGATGGCCCAGTGCGTAAAGGCCCGAGGCCGTTCAGACTAGCAGGTGTTTGATTCCAGACTGTGCTGAATTCGTTGATCTCAGCTGGAGCACTAGAGGTACTATGACAGGTCTCAGGGACCCGGGTGGAGGGGGTAAACAGCTCACCACCTTAGACAGAAGTGTTGAAATTATCAAAGTACCACATTGATGTTCCAAACAAGTTACACTTTATAGCGTCTTGAGACACTTTATGGGGTCTTGAGACACTTTATGGGGTCTTGAGAGACACTTTATGGGGTCTTGAGACACTTTATGGGGTCTTGAGACACTTTATGGGGTCTTGAGACACTTTATGGGGTCTTGAGACACTTTATAAATATTATGGGAATCCTCGAGTAGGGAGGAAAGGAGGGGGGAGTTTGAGGATGTTAACGAGTGACACCAACTATTTGGGGAGAATTGCCCAGAAAATGGAGGTAAAGTCGATGGTGGGTCATAAGTAGATAACAATTGCTAGACGAAAGACCAAGGTCCATCCAGTTTGCCTTCCACCATCCTAGCCATCGCATGCACATATCATGTCCCAAATTGAATACTGCAGCCCGAGATATTATTTCCTAACAGAAATCCACATAATAAAATGGTGACTTTAAGACTCTCCCCCAAATAAACATGATTTCAGATGCTTATATCCGACAAATCCCAGATTTGCTCAGTGACAAACCCATACCTGGGCCATTTCCCAATCATTCAAGACAGGAATCACCCACTTATTCCAACAGAAATATTCTTTGCTGCTCTGAATGGCGTAACTGAATATCAATTTATTGTTAGCAGTTTATGACACGTTTCAAAATGTACCTCTGACCATGCTTTCAGTCGCCTTTCCCAGCCTAACAACCCCCACACCCCGGGCCAGTTGGTATTGTGAAGTACTTCAAAATGTCCCCCTGACATGAAAGGCACTATATAAGTGCCGACTATATTGTATTAAATCTTAAACGCTGCTCTTTTCAAATACAAGCCACACGTATTTGATGTAAAATCACAGGTCACAACAATTCACAGAAATGTTGTGAAGTGCTTGAGACGTCAGATGTTTATAGGTGCTATATCAATTGAAAGGATTACTATCATTGTAAAGAAATGCCCAAGAATGTGCAGAGGCCATCAAACTAAACACGGGTTACACTGTATACACGGGGTGGGGTGGGGGAAGGAGACAACCTCCTTTGAAAAACACTCAGACAGCAAATTACAGAGCAAGAGTTGTCTCTGGTGTGGTTGTGGCTTTACGTGGTGATTAGACTGCAACCAAGGTAATGTGAGCCATGCATTAGAGATAAGTCAGTGATAATGCAGATTCCTCGGAAACTGGCCAAAGCTCAGTCAACTCTGCTGAGCTCTCTCCCCTCCAATCGGTTCTCAGTCCTCGCACACTGCCTCGTACCACTCCTGTGAGTCTCTAATGTTAAATCATGATAAACTTCAACACAGCAAGTCTTTCAACCCATTGTGCCTGTGTCATGCTCACTCCTCACTCAAGCTGTTTCAATCCCACTTCTCAGCTCTTTCAACTGGATCCTTAAAAGCTTCATCTAACTACACTTCAGCGTGTGTGTGTAAAAAAATAAAGTAACGGGACTTTGTTCGACACCTTGTATAGGGCCTTTCATGTCAGGAGGAAGCCTCAACATGCTTCACAGTGCAAAGTGTAGTGACTGTGTGTTTTGTAGGTGACCATAGTAGTCAATTTGCGCACAACCATCTTCTTCTACACTAATAAAACGACAATGTCTGCACTTCAAGAAGGATCTCAATAACCGATTAACGTAGAGACAGGATTTATACAACATCGGAAAGGCTTTGCATCTGGGAGTGACGTGGGCACATTTGTTTTCAGATATCTTCCAACATTCACAAGTTATTTTTAGTTTTGTGCTTTTCGCTGCAGTTACACTTGGTAGCCGCCGAGTCAAAGTGGCACTGTGGCATTGCAAGTCACAGAGCACCTACGTATGTACGTTACACACTGCAGTTATATCTGATGGCCGTGCCGGCTGACATTTTGCGTCACAGCATGCACGTAGCCAAACAACAGGAACAAAATAAAGAACACAGACGAAGCTAAGCCGCAGCAACAACAACAAAATTACATTTTTAAAGCGCTGAGTCCTCCCAAATGAGAACCGATAAAGATGAAATGTCTGTCTGTCAATCTACATTCCACATTGGATTCTTTGGTTGCAAGTGAAGCTCCAACAGGTACAGTTAGTTTCTCATAAACAGCCATGGAGTGAGTATGTAAAAAAAATCCTTTTAACCTCCCTCTTTCATGCTTCCAGTAATAAGCTTGAGTTTACGATGGCCCTTTTGTTTCAATGAATGGGTCTACATCATCTCCGCCCGCCCCGAAGGGCTGGAGGACTTCCTGCAGACTAGAGTGACGTGAATCCCGTGACTGGCAGGATTGAAGATTTCCGAACACAGGTTGCATATTGAACCTAGTTCAGATACACTACCAACGTGGCTGCCAGCTGGACAAAACAAGTTCCCAGTCTGTGGATTCAAACCAGGGATGGGAGTCTACAATGTCAATTCCCTGGCTCACTAATTCCACTTTGGGTTACATAGTGTAGCAAACATCACCAGTGTTAAATGTATTTGAAATGCAGAATAGCACACCCGCCACTGAGCAGACAGGCATTGCTCTGATAGACCTTCACATTTTGTACCTCGATTCCAAACGCCTCCGCTCACATCAGTTAGAATGTTTCCTGACAACTGGCAGCATTTTTATAGATTTCCGAACACCTGTACAACTGGGAGAGGTTATGAAATTAATTTCCTCTCCACTGAATACAGCCAATTTATGGAACTGAACAGCAAGTACTGAAGTCTCCAGCTGCTGGAGTGAAAACCAGGCAGCGTATATCAGAGGAGCTTGGAGTCATGCACATGTTGGGTTAGTCACCCCCTGTGGGTCCCTTAGTCAGATCAAGGAGTGCTCTTTCACTTCTAAAAATAAAGAGCTCTCTTACTCAATGAGTGGGTAAGGCTTACAGGTTCCACTCCTCACTGAGCTGCTCTCAGAGGACACTCGAACATAGGAACAGGAGTAAGCCATTCAGCACCTCGAGCCTGTTCCACCATTCTATTACATCTTGGCTGATCTGTGCCTCAACTCCTTTTACTCATTCTTTGCCCATTTCCCTAACAAATATCTATCGATTTCAGACTTGAAAATTTCAATGGATCCAGCATCCACACACAGCCTTTTGTGGAAGAAAGTTCCAGATTTCCCCTACCCCTTGTGTGAAAAAGTGCCTCCTAGTTTCACTCCTAAATGGCTTAGCTCTAATTTTAAGATTATGCCCCCTTGTTCTGGATTTCCGTATGTAGTAGAGACTTCCACATTGGGTGGACTTATCAAAGCACTCAACAACACTGAAAGGGGGGGGTGGGGAGAGAAATGGTTATTGCACACAGAACACAATAGCCTGAGACGCAACAAACATGTTTCAAAGAGAATTCCACATTGGAATCAGACAGGTAGTCACAACAGCCAAATGTTTTCTACTTCACACAAGCACAGAGGACACCAGCTATGCATTCACATTACTAGGCTGTACTGCAAGGAAAACAATTCATTTTCATACGATTTATAACATCAAAATGACACAAAGTGCTTCATAATCAATTGCTGTCAAACAAAGTGACTTTTTGGAGTTGAATGAGGCAGCCATTTGGAGCAAAGCAATGTTCCACAAACTGCCATGAGATGAACCACCAATTTACTTGGGAGGATGGTTGGCCAGGACACTGGGGAAAAACTAACTCCTCTTTGCCAATAGCGTTGTTAAGGTACACTTGAATGGCAGCAGCATGTTACTGGAGAGTCATCCAGTGAACTCCTCACCCAGCATGAGGCTTAACCCACAATCTTCCAGCCCAAAAGTAAGAGTGCTGGCAATTTAACTAGGCTGACATCCAAG